CCGGCCCTGGAGCCCTGGGCTGGGGGCCTGTTGTGGGGCTGGGACCCCTCCCTCCTCCGGGAAACCTCCGCCGGGGAGATTCCCTCCGGGTGTGGGCCCGCGGCCGCGTTTCCAGGATCCAGCCCCAACCGGCCGGCGTCTCCGCCCCTCCTCCCGGTCTCGGTGCTTCTTCAGGTCCCTGGTTGTGGGGCTTCTGTGCAGCCAGATCTCAGGAGGCTCTGAGTGACAGTGGTTCTGTATTTTAGCTGTAATTTTGATGTGGTTGCGGGAGGCGGCGGGTGCAGCTGTTACCTCGCCGCCGTCTTGTTTCCTTTCTCTAGAATTTACTTTCAATTAAAGTTGTCCGTTGCTGGTAGGAATAGAACTAAAATTACCTGTAAATTTCCCAAATGATTTTCATGCATTGGCTGCATTGCGCATCAAACATACTAAACATTTTGAATCTTGTTAAATCAAATTAAGTTGTTGCTTTAAAAGCTTTAACTTTTCATTTTAAAAAGTCTTTTCATAAAGGTTACACTTAATGGAAAGCATTGATTTAACTGAGACTGTTCCCCTGGCAAACAGGACCTGCAGTCCTGGGTCCTGCCTACCTTCTCTGCCAAATCTTTCTCCATCTCACTAACCTCTCTCTTGTTCACTAACCTCCAGGATCATCCTCAAGCTGGACAAGTGCTTTCTTGCATTCAGGTCCTTGCACTGATTTTTCCTTCCATTTGAAACATTTACCCCCATGCTCCACCTTTAGATTTCACAAGGCCACGTCATTCTCATGGCTTTACTCACAACTCAAATGTCACCACCTCAGAAAGAATTTCCCTGCCTACTTTAGTGCCACAAGCACATGACTCTGTTTTTTTCCCCTTAGCACTTTTCAATACCTGAAATTATTTTATGTCCCATAGCTGTTTGAATGATAAAGAGTATCTTCTCCATCTATGAGTTTCTGGTCATGTATGCATACATAGCATTGGGTGGCCCATTAAAGGGAACTCTAGAAGTGGAATTAGGGCCCCAGAGTTTATGGATTCAGCTAACTTAAGATATACAAAGGAAAACAAGAGAAGGCCATAGGTTCTGCAGGTATTCAGTTCTGAAGAATGACTGGGTTTACTGGTGTTTTGTGGGGAAAGTAAAATTAATCAACAGGTAAGTATGATGCTTGAGGATAACTTGTCTTCAAGAGATACTCAATCGCCCTGCTGGGCATGGCTCAGCAGTTGAGCTTCGACCTAGGATCCAGGAGATCGGCAGTTAAATTCCCAGTCAGGCCACAAGCCTGGGTTTCAGGCTCTGTCCCCAGTGCGGGGCGTGCAGGAGGCGGCCGATCTATGACTCTGTCATCATTGATGCTTCTATCTCTCCCTCTCCCTTCCTCTCTCTGAAATCAATAAAGACCTTTTGTTTGTTTGTTTTTTTTAAGGGAGATACACAATCTATTTGGGAGTATATCAAATAAAACAAATGATGACAGTAACCATCAGTGAGTAAGTTTCACCAGAGGTTAAAGGCCAGGGTTTTAGTATGAGAGCTCACGCACCGCTGCAGTGTCCATTGGAGTCTTATTTGCGTCAAGACTGCTTACGAGAAATGTGGAAAAGGGCTGAGCTCAGAAACTACAAAATCCTTGAAATCGGACCCGTTGATTTTGGCATCCTGCATCTCTGGGGACAAATCTGATAAGCTTTGCTTACTGTTAATTCATGCTTGCTGGACCTAACACCACCCTTAATGCTGTGCAGCCTTCCCTGTGTCCATTTCAAGGGAAGGGGGTCACTCTGCCATTCACTCCAGACCTGCCTGTCAAGCTGTTTACTCAACATCTCTAGCTGAATAATCTAACAGGCATCCCAAACCTAACATGTCTAAAACCAGGCTCCCGGGATCCCCATACCCGCTCCTCCTTCATCCTGTCCATCTTTATCAATGACAAAGCCAGACATCTTTGACACCTTTTTCTCTTACACTCCACCTCTGTTCAGTGAGCTTTATCTCCAGAATGTGTCCAGAATCTACCCCTTCTCATTTTGCCTCTACCAACACCCCAGTCTAACCATCTCTCCCCTAGATGATAATATAGCTTCCTACATAGCCTCTCTTTCCACCCCTGCCCTAATTCTCAATAGCCTGAGTGATCCTATCAAGACATACGTCCAGTCATGTCATTCTACTACTCAGAACCTTCTTCCTCAGGCATTGCCCAAGCCCTCACTGTGACCTGTCAGGCCTGTATTATTTGGAACTCAACAACTTCTCTGACCATACTTTTTTCTACTCTTCTGACATTCACTTGGCTCCTGGCTGCTTCTAATACCTTTCACTTGCTGATCCCTTTTCACATAATGCTTTTTTTTGGAAATATCTACATGGCAGCTCCTTTCTCAAAAGTTACCTTCACAATCAGGCCTTCCCCAGCCATCAGGGCTAACACAGAAACACTTTGCCTGACACAGCTCTTTACCTGCTTTATTTTCCTTTGCACTAGGAGAACAGGGGGTTTTGTATGTTTTCTTCACTGATGTATCCCCAGCGCCTAGAATAGTACCAGGTACATAATAGATGGTCTTTAAACACTTATAGAATGAATGTACTTCCCCAGGGAGTCATCCTAGAGGCTTTTCCTATTGTGGACACTGCTGTGGTGCCAGGCTCCCAGTCAGTAGCCTACACAAGAGCCCTCTCTCTACCCACATGCAGGTTTATTCAAGGATTTCCTGAGCCTTCCCTCCCAGTTGAAGCTTCTTTCTTTGACATTGATTCACCATTTGCAGGATCACTTTTTGTTTTCTTTTTTTCCCAATTTCTTCCCAGCTCTTATTTTTCCAGATCAGTGGTTTTCAAACATAACTAAGTGGGAGAGTCACCAGGGGGATCTTTAGAAAACCTCACAGTGACTCTAATTTAATCCGTCTGGGTAGGGAAGGAAGTGGGGCCTGGGCCTCCTATGTTTTAAAAGCTCCCCAGGCGATTATAATACGCCAGGCAGGGTTGCAAATCACTGCCCTAAGTGAATGCCTGCGTCGCAGCTGTGTTCATGAATCTCCTACCACATTCTCTACATCGTTTTATTTATTTATTTATTTATTTATTTATTTATTTATTTATTTATTTATTATTTATTATTGCTTTGAGAGGCTAGGTTGTTTAACATGTAATCTCAGAATGTCATATATTTGTATTTATACAACATGAGAGTGCATCTTAAACATGGCTTCTCAAAATGATGTAATGATGAAACACAAAATGTGCTCCCTGCAGTAGATCTTAAACTGTAGATATATTGAGTGAGTTTGAGTTGCAAAGTCAGTGCAATTCAGCAAGTATTTATTGAGCACCTATTGTGCACCCAATTCCAAATGTTGTGTTAATCATTATGATGATGATGGGGGAGGGAAGATACCTGATATATCCCTACCCTTGAGGAGTTAAAGATTGTTGAGAAGGCAACATTACAGAATAATACACTAGGGAGTGTCAAAATATATGTTCCTGTTTCTGTGAAATGCAAGAACAGGAGATGGGACTGGAGAATGGAAAGTCAAATAGCCAGCATCTGAGGATATTGCCTGTGAGGAAGAAGGAAAGACAATTAAGTAATTAAGAGGAATAATAATTATTACCACAGGAAAGAGGTCTGCCAAGCCTTGAAATAAACAGGCCTCCGTCACTGTGAACACAAAACAATAATTTGTGTGTTTCATGCTTTGCCCAAAGCTGAATTTTAATTAAATATTAATTTTGCCTAAAGCAGACCACTCTGATTTCCATAGTAATTGTGATGATAATGTAGGGCTATTGGTTTACCCTGGAATACTCATTTGTGTGCTGAACAAAGATCTGGAAGGTCAACCCATTTTGAAAATAATCTTGTGAATGATGTTAATCCTTGCATGGACTGGTCCCTTCAACCAGTTCTTAGAGGCCGCTTAGTAGACTTAGATCTCCTCTTCTCCCAGGAATCTGACCTCACGTTCCGACTGGCCAGCGGGCTTGTTATATGGCAGCCCATGTGGGAGCACAGACAGCCCGAAGTCTCTGGCTTCACAGCCCTGGTGAAGCCCATCAGGAACATCATCACAGGTTTGTGACTCAGATGCCCAGTGGGATGGTCTTAGGAAGGAGGGTGATGGGAGAATTTGCCCTTAAAGAAGCCAAATGGAAGAAACTTTCTCCGAGGAGTTACCTAGGTGTCCCCAGTATAGGAGTCATTCACATGATGAGAAACTCCAAACCAAGGGCATATGCTGTTATGTTGTGTGACTTTGAGTAAGTCAATTAAACTTCCTGTATAACTTAACACAACCTTGCAAGGTACATGAATATTAAGGAGTTTTGTAAACTAGGAGTGCCATATTACTCATATACATATGTTTATAGTGACGTCATGCTTACTATGGTCATTGAAAAGGAAAGTGAAATTTTTCATAGAGTTGAAGAAGACTAAGCCGACAACTTCCATGTATACAATACATGAACTATTGAAATAAACGATAAAGTCAAGAGTAACAGTCTGTCATATGGTTTAAGCATCAAGGAACTAAATAAGTAAAGATGTCATCGCCAGACGTGATCTACTTAAGATTCCATGGCTAGAATAAGGTTAGTTTCATTGGATTAAAACAATCTGAGGGTGGAGACAGATACATGAGGTTTAAAAACTAAACACAGTGTGAATTAGACATAATAACAATAAAACATGCTTTAGTAGAACAAAACTATTATTGAAAAGCCATTCTTTATGTTTGTTAAAGAAAAACTTTTTTCATTTATTTTAAGACCTGTCACTTTCTTATATGATTGGAGGGGTCACTTCAAATTTAGGTTCTTTCTCTCTCTCCCTCCCCTTCTCTCCCTCCCTCCTCCCTTTCTTCTCTCTCCTCATACATAAACTATCATTTAACACATGTACAAATACTATTAAGAATTCACGTCAGGTGAATAGTACTGGGGCTCTTCCCCTCCCTTTGCTTGTGGATGATATTCACAGTGAGTTCCTGTCCCCTCTTCCTGACCCCTGGGGACTTGAAATGGTGCTCAGCTCTTGAGGGAAAATCAAACCGAGCTTAGACCACAGGGCCAGGAGTAAAAGCAATGGCGCATGGTTGACACTCCCCCTGGTCTTATGAGGTTGGTAAATCACCTTCCTTTCAGCACCAGGTTACTCACAATTCAAATGGAGCATTGTCATTTAGCACAGCTTATTGTGGTCATTAAAGCAGAGACCCTGGAGCCAGATAACCTGGGCTGGAACCTTTATACAAAGGTCAGGAAATCTTGGGCAAGTTAAACTTGCTGTGCCTCACGTCTTCACTTGTGAAATGGGTCTAATAATACACCACATGTTATTAAGCGATTACTTTAAGGGTTAAATAAGTTGATAACACTCATAACAGGACTTGGCAGATATTAAGTACTCTGTAGATGTTAACTATTATTGTTCTTAGCATTGCCAACATTTTAGCACCTTAACCTATTGAGTCAGACTAAATAGATGAAGAGATCTAGATTAACAACCTAGAAATGCTAAGATTTTTAAATTGGTTATTTGATTTCTCTTACAACACATGTTATTAAATGTCTTTTTTCAAGATGATAATGAACTGTTAAAATAGGATTTTCTTAATTTGAAAATGAAATGAACTTACGAAATAAAATGAACTTATAAAATCTGTGATAGAATTTCTTTCATCTTTGCAGCTAAGAGAAGCTCTCCTATTAATAGTCAGAGTCAGACCTGTGAATCTCCAAATCAGGACACAAGACACGGGGAGGTGAGTTTATTTTAACCATGAGAAGAAAGGGGACGGTCATTCCTTAGACGCAGTGTAGTATGAAGGGTAAGACATGAGTTCTAGAATCATACAACTTGGCTTCAATGCCAGCTTCCCTTCCCTGAATGTGAAACTTTAAACAGCCTCAGGTTTTCTATCTATCAGTGTGGAAGATAATTTTATGCACTTCCCAGAAGGGTGGGTGGGGATGCTGAAAGAAGACTGTGTACAACTATTGGTTTATCTCTCAATAGCTAGGGTGTGACATTAGATGTTCGTTATCATTATTCATCCTTTGTTAACTAAACCATCACCTTGTTCTCAGTCAGTTATTGAATCCCCTAAGGAACATGTGTTAAGTAATCCTAAAATAGGTACGATAGTGCTGTAGCAGGTGGGGAGGAGGGAGTAGAAAAGAGTCATAAGATACAGTCCTACCCTTAAGGAAGCTAAAAGTTTAATGAGGAATCAAGACTAATACACATAAAACAGAAGATGCAAAATAAAACAATATAATTCAATGCAAATTTGTCATGCACTATTTGGTTTGGAAAAGAAGGAAATGAAGGCAAGAGTAGTGCAAAGCTATTGCCACTAACTTAGCATGTTTTCCGATGACTTGCCTTCATTTCCAATTCAACATGCACAAAATAAAACTTGCTGGCTTCCATCCAATGATGGAGCATGACTGCTAGGAGTGGCATCGTTCTTTATATGCTCCAAGCTGAAAATTTGGGTATCCTATTATATCTACTATTCACTGAGCAATTGCTAGGTGCACACACTGTGATTTATATGCTACATTTGATCTCTTCTATGATGTGCTTTCTTTCACTTTTAACATCTTTGAAATTGAGTGTATTTGATGACCTTTGGCCTCTTACAATCTCCGTCTCTGGCAGCAGTCTTGATATAGTTGTCGTTGTTGCACAGCATGAATTTGGTCATTTCTAGCATCTGAATTTGCAGAATCAGGATCAGTGGTTCTATAAGAATATGTCAGAAGGAATAGTGGAACACTCTTTTATAAAATAATACTTGACACAGGGAAAGCATTTTATGGAAAAACATATATCAACAACTCTGTGTTAAATTTTCTAAATGTAAAAAAAAAAATAAGTATGCCTACACCAATTTATTTCACTCTTATTTTCCTTTCTACGTATACACAGGATGAATATATAATCAAAAGCTGTTCCTACATAAGTCTGAAATAGACCCTTTAATAAATATAAAATAAAAAGTCCTCACTGATAAGTTTTTTCCTTAATTGAAAATAAAATAATGGTATATCTTATAACTGATGATATCTTAGATACAATGAAATACATAAATATCATAATTCATTCTCCTTAATCCTCTCTATTTGATTTTTTGCTGAGAAATCATAGTTTGTTTTCTTTTTATTATGTAGCTCAGATGTGCTCTTTTTTCTCTATGCCTACTACCACCCTCTGAATCTTGGTCCTCATAACTAGATTGCAGCTTGAATCACCTAATTGGGTTTTCTACCTCTAGCCTCTCTTGTTTCACATAAATATCAATTAATAATGCCCAAGTAATCTTCCTAATGCATCATTTATTAACTCACCCACTCCATAGGGACTTCTTATATGCAAGGTGTCATCCTTTCATCACATCCCTTCCTTCTTAGGAACCCATAGTGGATCCATCACCTCAAGACCACACTCCCCTCCCTGGTTCTCTGTGCCTACCATTCTCTGTGCCTACCACCTGGTGTCATCCTCCTTAAGTGACCCTGATTACCCCTCCCATTAATTGAGCACTGCGTCCAATATACAGAGCATGCAGTTTTAGCCTCTGAATCTTTGCTCAGAATAAAGGTCATTGTATCCAACTGGAAAAAAATATATTGCATCCCCACTCTGATGAGTGATGGAAAAACCTGAACCTTGGACTTGCACTTTCATGTCTGGCTTCTATTTGATTAGCTCTTACTAACCTGTTGCTTGGTTTCAGCCTCATGACTCTGGTTCACCTCAGTATTGGCATATCTTTGATGAATTGTTGGTTTGTAACTCTTCTCCTGTGGATATTAGATATGGAGGTAAAAAGAGACTGAATCAAGGGAAAAATGAAATAAAGTATATGAAAGTACTTAGCCTAATGCTTCGAATGACACTGATGCTCTCTCGAAGTCTGTTTCCACTCACTGTTAGATGAAGGCAAAATTCCTCGGCCTATGACATCAGAATTAGCTATGCCACAATTTTTTAATGTAAAAAGCAGTGTGTGTAATATGATAGCTGATTCCAGAGAGTATACCTGAAGGAAAAAAGATTAATCTGCTCTCTCCTCGTCCTAAAGGGACTCCAGGTGGTCTCCGAAACCTTCCAGTCAGATTCCATCTCACCCAAGGCCACCATTTCTGGCTGCCACCGAGGAAACTCCTTTGATGGAAGTCTGTCCTCCCAAACTTCCCAGGAAAGAGGTCCATCACATTCCAGGTATGTGATGTTAAGGACAAAAATGCATCCCCAGCCTCCAAAAACTAAATATGCATTATTAGCTCCTTGTAAAGCCTCTGTTCCTTAGAATGTGTGTGTGCATGATGTATATATATTCTTGGTCGATGTACAGTTACATTAATAATTCCAGAAGTCTGCTATGAATGGCTCTCCTTTAAACAAACTGGAGTGGAAGTGGGATGACATGCCTGATATGAGATGTCTGAATTAGATTATATTTTAAATAGTTAAATACAGAAACTCAAATGATCCTATCTGTCAAAAGATTATGTTGTGGGGATGTGAAAGGACCTGCTTTAATGTATGAGAATACTTTCTACCAGGAGATCCTAGTATTAAAGTGGGTGCTTCTAAAATACTCACAGGGAATAGAAAGGTCTGTTCTTTGTAAACATTCCAATTCTGCCTGTTAGCTTGTATACATGGTGCATTTGCTTACAAATGCCTTCCTGAAGGACAAACATTAGTGTCTTCCTGCTCCCTGCTGAGATGATGGAAGCCTGGATTCAGGGGGTTTGCCTTTGTACCCAACTAGAAGCTCCACCTACTGAGTGAGAGACCATGAGACCAACTGTATTTCTCCATTTTCAAATGACGTTACTGTCTAGTGGATATGATTTTAAAAGGAGGTATTTTTAAAATAGTTTCATACACCATAAAACTCACCCATTTAAGTGTACAATTTAATGATTTTTAGGAAATTTACAGACTTGTGCACCTTTCACAGTGATCCAATTTTAGAACATTTCTATCATCCAAAAATATCCCTTATGCCCATTTTTCAGTCACTCCCATTCCCACACTCCAGGTGATTATTTGATATACTTACATCTCTCTATAGTTGCATTTCTGGACATTTCAAAAAAATGGAATCATACTGTATATGGTGTCTTGCATCCATCTTCCTTCATTTAGCATATTTTACAGGTTCATCCACATCATAACTGACTTACACTTTTTAAAGATCACTCTAAGTGGCTTATGGGAAATTGACTCAGGAAGCAAAAGTGGATTCAAAGACTAATTAGGAGACTATTGCAGTGGTCCAGGTGAGAGATTATGACTTGGTTAGAGTGGTAGTACAGGTGGAAAGGCTGAGATGAGGTTGGAACTGGCGTACACTTTGGGGGCAGAGCTGACATGACTGGATGTGGGGAGTGAGAAAAAGAAAGGAATCAAGAATAACAGGCTTTTTGCTTGAGCAACTGGGAGAATGGTGGTTAAATTTATGAGATAAGGAAGGCTGAGGAAAAACATATATAAAAATATTCTGGCCCAGCCGGGCGTGGCTCAGAGGTTGAGCATTGACCTGGGATCCAGGAGATCACAGTTCGATTCCCAGTCAGGGCACTTGCTGGGGTTGCAGGCTTGATCCCCAGTAGGGAGTGTGCAGGAGGCAGCCAATCAACGACTCATCATTGATGTTTCTATCTCTTTCGTTCCCTATCCCTTCCTCTCTCTGAAATCAATAAAGATTATATATATATATTATATATATATATATATATATTCTGAATGTGCTTACCTCCACCAATTCCTCCTTGACCAATTCAGTTCTACTCAAATTCCAAAAAGTTTTATTTAAGCATAAGGAATCTCTTACCTTAAATACTATGCTTCTGTTTGACTTCTAAAAATTTTCAAAAACTTTATCAGGATGAAATCTTGAGGTCATGGAATATACAGGAGCTTATATTTCTTACATTATTTTTCTCAACCACAGTAAGCACTGGAAATTTGCAAATATAAATAGCAAGTGATATTTCTTTTCTTTGACAAAATTAATTGTTAATGACCCCAATTTGATTTGCCTGTAAAGACTAAGTCAACTATAATGTCCAAGGTTTCCTCTTCCTGGAAGGACAATGTTTGTTCCCATCTTTGATATTGTCAAACATATATATATATGCATTCTTTGACACATATCTCGTTGCCCATAGCACACATATTTGAGAATTGGATTTAAATCAGTGACACTTCAGAATAATGAATTAGGTCTTTTCCCTACCTAGCTGCAGTGGCTGGTTGCCATGGAAATGATGCACAAGATAAACCTTTCAGAAAATGCTAATGTTAATATATCTTCATTGGAGGAGTTCATGTATTAATCTGAAATGAAAAGAACTTTAATAACAAAGCAGTGCAAATATCCTAGGAATAAAAGCTGTGTGCTTGTATCAAATCCAGTTTATCATCTCTTTTGCCCTGACCTTGACTGAACTGAACATCTCTTTTCCTTGAACTCTGCAATCAGTGAGCAGGTAGCCAGTTTGTTAAAATTAATGTGAGATTTCATCTTTAATTACCATATGCATAGACTTAATTTCTGCTTCATTAAATACTGCACAGGGTCAAGACTGATTTCCACAGTTCTCTGCCTCCATTGATTATTTCTAGAACGCTTTTCTGCCTTGGATGACCTCTACCAGCATCTCCAACCCTAGTTAATAATAACGTGGCTTCCTGAGCCATAGTTAGTTGGAAAGTAGATTAAAGCAATGCTTGCCTTTTTCAAGACTTTTTTTTGGTGGGGAGGGTCACAATGTGTTATTTACTCTGCACATAAAAAAAGTATATGCTAATTATAGCATATGAAAATTTAAAAGGTATAAAATATTTCTTTAAAAATAAAAATCATCCATGATGTCATTAGGTAGATATAAACATCATTAATTTTTTTCGATGTACTTCTCTTTATTATTTTTACATATACCATTTAGAACAAGATTTTTATAAAATTTTTCTTTTGTTCTACCAAGTAACTTATAAAATTATAGGATATTAGAGTTGGAAAGGACATTTCTATCATATCATACACCAAACTGTCCCCTTACCATCTTTATCCAGTTTTGTAAATTTTTCTCACATTAATTAAGTAGATGGTTAATGTTAAGGAAAATGACTTTTTTTGCTTACTTAGTGAAACAGTGACTACATCTGATAGTGCAGTCCTAAGTGAAATAAAAACATTTATTGATCGTTTTTGTTTTTATTGACTACTCAGTACAGCTCATTCTTTAAGCCAAATAAACCAGTGTTTGAATAACAACTAAAATGAGGGTTATAAATATTTGCCACAGACGACAGAAGGCCCTTTTAAATTCACTGTGTGTCAAATGGAGTCTCTTTAAATATTAAGCAATTGAAATGTAAATTTACTGACAAAATTTTGATGATTAAGTTACAGACATGTTTTTAGTGTCTGACCATAGCCTTATATCGGTGGATCCCTGCTGTTGTGCAGACCGTCATCACTGAATTGACTTGATGTTAGGACATAGTGAATGACTACAGGACTCAACTGTATAGTTAGTAATTGCTTAGAGAAAGACATAACTATCGTCATCTGGCACCCTGAGGGACTAAACTGTCATTCCAGCTAGTGTTTCCATATAGGAATTGTTTTAGATGTTGGCTTAAAAGTACAAAGTCAAGCATTGCATGTTTCTTTAGGGCAATTGTCCTCTAATCTTATTAAGAGTATTTATTTTAATTTTCATTACCTGGAGATGTTGTTTAAAATAAAGATTCCTGGGTTCTATGCGCAGCAATTCTGGTAAGTCTGGATTCTGCATTTTGAACAACATTTGTTCTCCCTGTGCCCCTTGCAGTTTTCATGGAAGTAGTCCATTGGCATCTCATTATATGGAACACCGCTCTAGGGATTTGAAATAATTTATGCAACTCCCTAATCTAAATTACTAACTAGAAATATTTGGAGACACTGAGGTGCAGGGCAGAAAGTAAAGGGTAAAAACAGCTAGTACAGTGGGGGATAAATAATTCTGTTGGACTGCTAATATCTGTCTTAATCACAGCAGCCCAATCAAGAAAATAACTGTTTTCACCCGCACTTATAGTAAGTCAGATGACTGTCACAAATACTGGAAGAACCTAAAATTACGCAGCTGGTAGCCAGCCAACCTCATACTTTGTCTTTTCTTTATAAAGCCAAAAGTATATTGCTGGGGGAGGGGGAGGAATCCTATTCTAGGTATAAAAAATAGGCTGAGAGGAGTGAGTGAGTTCATACACATTTTTTAAAGTGAGATGAGGGGTGGGAAGGAGGAGCAGTAAAGGCCTCTTAAAAAACTCATAGAAATGAGAATCAAGGTTATTTTCCCTCAAACTGGGCTTCAGACTGTCATCAGTCAGGAACCAAGTCACACTTGGGTAATTTTTGAAGAGTCAAAACAGGTTTTGTCATGAGCAAGGGAGTATCCTCAAAAGGAGTCACTCACATGCATTTGTGTCTTTCTACAATACCAGGTTTATTAGGAGAGACCTCCCCAATAAGCTGTAGAGTCACACACAGGTTACACACAGAGAGGGGGAGCTTACCTGATAGAAGCAAGCAGAATGAGCCTCCAGTGCAAAGTCCCAGTCACTGATGATGTTCACAGGTGGATAGGTGGGCATCAGTTCAAGCCAGGCAGCTATAGTGTCAGCACTTGTCCAGTGAGTGGAAGTCTACCAGAGCTCTGAGCATGACTCATGGTACAGCCAGGCTTGAGCTTTGGGTGGTTAGAGCTCTGAGTTCTTATAGCCCACAAGGGGTGGAGGTCCCAGACATATCACTGTCCAGATGGAGTTCTTATCCAAGTGTCCAGACATGTGGTTTTGGGCATTTGGACCCCTCCTAGGGGCATTCCCATTACACCCATTACCTCAGTCTTGACCTAATTGTCATGGATGACAGTGGCTCCATATTGGATTGTCATAGGTGTCCAAAAAGTCTATTTTGCTCTTGCTCTGTGTAGGTTGTTTACAAAGATTTGGACAGGATGTAGGGAAACCACTGAGCTAGTGCAGTTCTCTAGGGATCAGGGATGGGGCCAGCAGGAGACCCACCAGCTCAAAGTGTGAAGGGATAAGGGACGGGAGCAGTTGTGGAGAACTCTATGGAGAGAGTGATTAACAAGAGCTGTGACCATCAGTGGTCACAGTTCGTCAGCCCTAGAGCACAGCGCCATCCCTAGGCAAATCTCTGGGAGGGTGGAGACTTGTGAAAGAAATCCTGGTCCTTCTGCCTTCCCGTCTCCTGGGAGCCTCCCTTTGCCAGATTCAACCTGGAGCCAGAGGCAGGGGAGCCCTGAGTAGAGTCCATAGGGACCAGTCTTCCAGGACAGGGAGGTAGAGGGTGGAGAGCAAATGGGGTCAGGGAGTGGGGATTGGAGGCAAATAAAAGATATCCTATCTAGGATAGGAACCTTAATTTTGAATCTAGCCCTTATGCGTATGAAAACTCAGCAACTCACAAAATTCTGAGACTCAGCCTTTTTATTAAAATGATTACATAATGAAAAGTTAGATAATATACTGAAGAAAAGCAGGTATAACCCATCATCCAGGGGATAAAGAGACAAATTTGTGTGATACTATATATATATAATTTTATATATATATATAAAATTCAATGTGATAATTTTTATCTTTTATTCATGTATTTATTTAGCATTTATTTTGTTAACTACCATTTTGGATTTATATCTTCCATTTTATTTTATTTTGGGCTTTTTATTTACTCTGCATTTCATGGTTTTTTGTTTTTTTCTCTTCTTCTCTGCCTATTAATTAATGAGTTTTCTCTAATCCCCATTTTTCTTCTACTGGAAGAAGACTTTCTATTATTTGGTTACTATTGAAAGTGTAACATAGATACTTGTCTATTGAAAGTCAGAATTAAATGAAACCCCAATGCTTCAGCTCCAGTCACTCTCTGCCTTATTATATGTTGTATACGCTTGTGAAACCACCTCCGCAGTCAAGATAACAGAGTCATCACCCTCCAAAAGTTTGCGTGTGCCTCTTTGTAATTTCCCTTCCTACTCTTTTCCCATCCACAGGCAACCACAGATATGCTTTCTGTCACATGGATTAATTTGAAATTATCTAGAATTTTAGATAAGTGAAAACATACTGCTTTTTTGGGGCGGCAGCTTTTTTCACTCAGCATAATTATTGCATATACCAATGATTCTCTGTCTTTTATTGCTTAGTAGTCCAACGAGTGATGTACAAGTTTGTTTATCCATTTGATGCAGTGTTAACAGGGGTCAGGGACCTGAGGGTCCAAGACCAACTGTGGATTCTTGACTTTGCACAGGAAAGAATTAAAACATGAGCCAGCACAGCGTTTAGAGTAAAAATGAGTTTATTAGTGAAGCAGTGAGACATGGAATGGGCTACCCATAGACAGAGCAGCCCCCTTTAGTGAAATTTGCTTCCTTTATTGAGGTTCATTTAATTGGGGGGGGGGTAGTAAGGAGGAGGAATATTCAGGACCTTCCTGGGAAAGGGGTGGAGATTTCTCAGAGGAGCTCCCTAGGCCTTTTTGTGTTCTTATATGGGCTTTTTGGTTTCCATCACAGTGGCATGGAGTGTGGTGTTTAGCATGCTAATGTATTTAGCGTGCCAGTGAGTATATAATGGCCAGGGGTTATCCTTAGGTGAAATCAGTGGCCATGGTGGATGGAGCTGCTCCCTGCCAGTCAGCTACAAATCTTGTTGGGGGTGTGGTCTGTCTTCTTGACGTCCCTGTAGCTTTTATGGATTACATTTGCTCTGCCACATACCCTAGATTATAGTCACCTGCTGCTGGGCACTTGTATTGTTTTAAATTTGAGGCCATCAGAGTGTTATAAAGTTCTTTTCTGCCTCATGATTATAAAAAATAGCCACAATGTTTTTCTAATACTACTGTGGTTTTATATTTTTACATTTAAATCTTTATCTTGATTTTATTTGGGGAATAAAATACGTTAATTTAAGATAGGCCTAATTAACTCTTTCTGAGTAACTCGTGACATTATTATATATATTATGTATATCAAAGTATCCTTTGTGCTAACTTGATGCATCATCTTTTTTATTTATTAAAGTCTTATAAATATTTGAATCTTTTGTAGCCCCATATTTTATTCCATTGAACTCTTGTCTATTCCTAAATCAGCACTACATTGGCTAAATATATTGCTGTAAAACACGGATTAACACCTGACAATTTATATTCTTTGCATTCTTGTTTAAGCCTTTCCTGATTACTCTCAAATGTTTATTCATTCATCCAGTTAAATTTCAGAACAGTCTTATTGATTTTTAAGAGATAAATCCCTTTTGAATTTTGGTTGGAATTTACAATATTGTAATTTATAATAATAAATATATATTTAGAGCTTCTAAAACCCTTAGAATTTTCTAAGTGATGAGAGTGATAGAGTGTCTGTTGTTATGTTAATGTGATATTTAGAATGCACTAAGGGCTGGGGGCTGGTTTCCAGGAAAACCAACCCTGTGATTAGAGGGTTGGAACTTTCAGCCTTTTGGGTCTGAGCAGAGGAGTGGAAGGAGAGAAAAAGCAATGAGACTAAAGAGGATGTCTAATGAGAAATGTTGGTGTCTGTGGAGTTGATAAGAAGTGGTTGGAAGGGTAACCTAAGGGACTTTCTGATGGATTGAAAGTTACCATGCAGCTGATGTCCAGAGTATTCTAGCTCCTTGGAAAAGGGATGAGCTGTAGCATAACACATATGGGAACTTAGCTGATTGTAGGAAGTTTCTCTTCTTCATGTAACTGCCACCTCAGTCAAATAAATACCACTGTAGCACCTTATGTGACTGAATTTTAAAATATTTAGTTTGCTATCTGTCAACTAAAATACCCAAGGATATTAGACTACGAGATATCATTGACATTCAAAACCACAGTGTACGTAGGCAACAGGCCAGACAACGGTACTAAATAAAGTAGAAACAGTGAAGTGCACCACGTGCCCTGATGGGGAAGCAGAAAGGCTATGAAAATGGTTCATGGGACACTGGGCCCGGTCTGAGTTTGTAAGTTTGAACTGGTCACTGCAACCCTCAGTAAGAATACATTTTACTCGTGGGAGGCAAAACGATTCCAGGCGTTGCCCTGGCTGGTTTGGCTCAGTGGTTAGAGTGTCAACCCTCAGACTGAAGGGTCTCGGGTTCGATTCCAGTCAAGGGCACATACCTTGGTTGCAGGCTTGATCTCCTGCCCCTGTGGGGCGAGTGCAAGAGACAAACAATCAATGTGTTGTTCTCACATTGATGTTCCTCCCCCCACCACTCTTTCTGAAAAGCAATGGAAAGAATATCCTCTGGTAAGGATTAAAAAAAGGAAAACTATGCTGGGTGTTCAGGTGACAGATGCCATCTTAGGAAGCAAGCTAGTCCATCCTGGGAGAAGTAGGCCCCTGTTACCTAAAGGGAATATTCTTGCATAGGTAAATAGGCGCGTTAAGTTGTTTACTGCTTTGGATTATACAGCTTTTAACAACCAAGTGACACTTGACTGTATATAACAAGCCCCATCCCTTTTTGGGTGTGGAGATCTATGATCTACCATTTTGCTGCCAACCAACAAGCCGTGTTTGTCCATAACTCCCCTAATAAACTCTTGGTGTAATTCTGGAGTTGTCAGCCTCTTTTTTTCCATCTCTTGACTGAAAATAAAATTTGTTGCAAGGACTTAGGACTTGTGACAAAGATATGAAGTGAAACAAAAATTTCATCAGCCATAAAAATCCTTACTCAATTGGTTGCAGTCTGATGGTTTTATTCTAGTTAACTTTTTAATAGCGGCCATATCCTTTTGAGTTAACCTCTTGAACCAGTAATAAATTATAACTTTTATTTAAAAAATACGGGTCTGGGAAGTTTAGGAAAATCTAAGTGGCTGCATTTTTTGCTTAAGCTCTTCATGTGTGCGTAGCACCATTTGCTAGTTGATAGCAGGGTACAAAAATTTTACTTTTGTATTATCCAACTTAGGAAGAAATTATATTTGGCAATGAAGTTTTGATTTAAGATTACATATTAGTTCCCAGCAGTTCTAAATTTATAATTTATATTTTTCTGTCATTTTCTCAGGACCATATGTTCCTCAGGCAAGGAAGTTAAATTTTCTTACCTTCATATCCCCTAAGATGATGTATTACGATGAGTAATTGTTTAAAACTATTTTGTAGTACAATTAAAGTAATGACTAAGTAATGAATATGTCATCTGTTTAAACTGAATAATAGAATTCCAGAGCCTTGAGGTCTCGAGATTTTTAAAATTAGTTTTGCTATCTTACATAGATATATAAATTGAGTTTTCAAAATGATTTCATTTTCCTTATAGTATAAGTTTTGTTTCTTTTGTACTTTGCAGTTCCTTTGTTTGTTTTTTACATAATATTATCATAATTGAAATTAAAATAGTCCAATGAAGAACACAAACATCATTCCCATTTCTGTCAAGCTAAAAGTCAAACCTAATGATGATGATGAAACCTGATAGCTTAGTTTAATAAAAGAGACAACAAGATCTGAGCCTCATCTGTATCTATAGATTCTCATCATTGTCTACCGCCCTAGTTACTCACCAACTATATCAATTTCTTGTGATTTTCCTCTACCCACCTCCAATTCAGGATGCTTTAAGAACACTGTACCTTTGTAAGCATTGTTACCTCTGACTAAAATGCCATTCACCCTCCTATCCCATCCTCAACTCTGCCTGGAAAATTTCTACCTCTTTCCAATGTCTCTACTTCCAGGCAATGTCTAGCAAAAGTGGGATGAATGAGACCAGTCAGGAAGATATTAAGAGTAAACCAGTAAAAGATAAGTGAATGAATAAGTGTATAAATGAGAAAAGCAGAGTGATAAGCCATGTGCCACCCCTTGTAATGTATGAGTACCAAAATAATCATCTTTCTGCCTTCAACAGGGTCTCTCTTGTGATACCTCCATGCCAAAGGTCCCGCTATGCCACCTACTTTGATGTTGCTGTGCTTCGCTGCCTCCTCCAGCCCCACTGGTCTGAGGAAGGCACCCAGTGGTCTTTGATGTACTATCTACAAAGGTTGCGACACATGTTGGAAGAGAAGCCAGAAAAGCCCCAAGAGCCAGATATCCCTCTCCTGCCCAGACCCAGGAGTAGCTCCATGGTGGCAGCAGCTCCCTCGCTGGTGAACACCCACAAAACCCAAGTAAGAGAGACTCCGTCCACTGTCATTTGAATCAGCAACTTTGGTTTTAACAGATTTTCTGTTTGTTCTGTGCTTCCACCTCTTACTTATTCCAGTGCTGAGTATTTGGCTGGTGGGTGACTGTGATGCTGTTAGCCTTTCCCTTCCATCTTTTACTGCTGGACCCTTTTGCTGCTCTTTAGCATTATATTTACCATTCAAAGAAGTGCTATCTGAATGCCTTTTGCACACACTAATCTAAAGTAAGCCACTGTTGATCCAGAATAATGGAAAATTGGGTTTTAGATCATCAAAGCACTACTTAATAGAGAGTTCTGACATATAATCTGTTGCTTACCAATATTGTAAATTGTGTGACACTAGAGTTTGACTGACTATGATTTAACCTCTTTTGTTTGTTTGGTTTGGTTTTGTTGTAATCCTCACCTGAGGATATTTTTTCCCATTGCTTTTTCAGAGAGTGGAAGGGAGAGAGAGAGAAAACATCAATATGAGAGAGACACATTGCTCGGTTGCCTCCTTCATGTGCCCCGACCGGGGCCAGGGGTTGAGCCTGCAACTAGGGTATGTGCCCTTGGCTGGAATCAAACCCAGGACCCCTTCAGTCCATGGGCAGACACTCTAAGCACCGAGCCAAACTGGCTAAGGAGATTTAACCTCTTTTGCATAACTCAAAATGATTTAGTGCCTCAATGTCATCATTAGGAATATTGGTTTTTGATATATAGTCTTGCTCTTTATAATAGATGACTGGAGTAATAATCTGAATTTACATTGAGGGGATGACATCCTCTAAAAATCACTTTTTGATAAATTAATGTCCTTATATGAGCTTGAGCACTTATTCTGCCCCTTTCTCATCAACCCCATGTGTTGAGTATGGAGAGAAAAATGTGATTTAGTGGTGTGTTCCTGTTGTTTGGGTTTATTTAAATGTGAATTTGCTGTGTCTGAAAAAAAATCTGCATATTCTGAAAGTAAACATGAGCAGTACAATATCAGGGAGAAAAGGAAATGTACTCTCTTTTAGTAGTAGCTGATTCTGCCCAAAGTAAATATCTCCTATGGTGAATCATTGAATGGAAAAACACATTTTTTTAATAGAAAGAGAAAAAAAACCCTATCCCATCCCTGTTTTCTTAGCTTTCCTGAGTCTGGAGCTTCATGGTCTCACTATTGACAACTCCAAAGGGAAGTTACAATCAATATGAAATATATCTCCTCAGTAGCTAGATTTGGATTCTGAAAGTCTAGATATAAGTTAAATATTTTATAGATATCAACACAGTAGGCATATTTCTATTAAAAGTATGACATCGCAGTAAGAAAAGTATTGTATATAAAGCCCTAAGTCCTTGCTTATTAAGTCTACCTATATTGTCTTGTAAGGATCTCACCATGAAGTGTAATGAAGAGGAAAAATCTCTCAGTCCTGAGGCCTTTTCCAAGGTTTCATTGACCAATCTGCGTAGGTCTGCAGTCCCAGATCTTTCTTCAGACCTCGGTATGAACATTTTTAAGAAGGTGAGTAGAGCCCCTGACACTTTGATTTTTGGGTAATAAAAAAAAATCATTGGGCATCAGGTGTTTCTGATCAAGCTGCGACATGGGGCAGGGTGGGAAAGGGACCTCGGGGGACAGAAGTCAGCTCCCAGTTGTAACATTGGCTTTACAGCATGACCTTGTATAAGCCCCTCTGTGTGCATGAGTGTGCTCCCCACTCTAAATGTTGTTACAAAGCCCAGTCCTGATGATGTGCTTTCATTTGGTGATGCTGGAGGTAGTTGTGATAACAATGGTGGCAACGTACATTTGTATGATTCTTCTCATTTTATCAAGCGCTTTGTATAAGTAGTTCCCATTTAATCCAATGAGATCTTTATTTTCCCCATCCTGTGCTGTAACCCAGAGGTTCTCAAAATTTACCACTCATCAGAATCACCTACAAGGTCTTAAAACACAGGTTGCTGAGCCTCACCTTCCCAGGTGATGCTGATATGGCTGGTCCAGGGACCACACTTTGAGAAGCACTCCTCTTGCCCAATCCAGCAAAAAGACCCAGGGAACATGTTGCCTTTTGCTTCATTCCTTTCACTCTTTAAATGCATGTGGAAAGTTCTCTCATCTCTATCTTAGCATATTCAGCGACTTTCTGGGTCTCCTTGTCCTGGAAATGTCCTGTATTTTCTCGCCGGCCATGGAGCCCTTCGGGAAAGAAACTGTAAGTTCTCCGTTACCCTGTGCCTAACCCTTCACCTCTCACCCTTGTAGTTCAAGAGCCGCAAAGAAGACCGAGAGAGGAAAGGCTCCATCCCCCTGCACCACGCAGGGAAGAGGCGGCCACGGAGAATGGGAGTTCCGTTCCTGCTTCATGAGGACCACCTTGACGTGTCCCCCACCCGCAGCACCTTCTCCTTTGGAAGTTTCTCTGGGCTTGGAGAAGACAGGCGAGGCATTGAGAAAGGAGGCTGGCAGACCACCATTTTAGGTGACCGCAGGGACCTTCCAAAGCAGGGCAGAGCTTGAGTGACCTATTTAGGAATCTGGATCTAGGGCTCCTGGGCAAATCTAGGTCTTCCTTGAACAGTTTAGTCAAGAAATGTGGGCCTAAATGTGAGCCTCTCAGTACAAAATAACGCTGTGTCTTCACATCCAAAGAAATGCAGAAAATTGAGTTACTTATTCAAAAGTTTTGTATAATCAGACAGGCAATGGTCCTATTTCTTAAATATTTTAGATATGGGAGCATGGCCTTAGAGGGTCTCGTGCATTAGCTTTCACTGTGACTCCAAGGACAGACTTTTACTTGACTTGAATGCTAAAAAAGAGTAAAGAAAAAAAAGAAACATTTTTTCTTTTTGGATGGCATGTTAAGAAGGCCAGCTTAAAATTAAGAGTTGACAGCTAGCTGGGGCCCAATTTATAGTTTCTGACATTTGGCTTAGATCGGGCTGACCCTATCACAGGCAACTGCGTCAATCATTTTGACCCTGACCATTCCCAAGGCAAATTCAAGTCCTGCTATTTGGCTATGCCTTACGCGCTTCCTAATAACTCCTCACTCTCACTGCTGTCCTTTCAAAAGACAAAATCTGGGCAGAGCATCTTGCAGATTTCCAAACCCTCTTGTGACACTCTTGTCCATCTCAGGGAAATTTACCCGGCGGGGCAGTTCTGATGCAGCCACTGAGATGGAGAGCTTGAGTGCCAGGCACTCACACTCTCATCACACCCTGGTGAGTGACCTGCCGGACCATTCCAACAGCCACGGAGAAAACACCTTCAAGGAAGGTGGGTCGGAGGCAGCGCCTGCAGGCGGGAGTTCAGGTTCCTTTTCCTGTTTCCTGTTTTTACTCTATGTTCCATTTTCATTGTAACCTGGCTCCTTGTGCTTTCTGAAAATGTGCATTCATGTATAATATTGCTTGGTAATTTACTTGTGAGCCATTCTTAGAATTTTCTTAGTAGCAAGAGCTTTTGGACAGCACACTATGAACCCCATATGTCTCAGAGGGAAAGCAAGAGAGAGCCATTCATCTTTGTTTTCAAAGATCATGGATGCACAGGGCTAGACGAGACTTGGAGGATAGCTAAATACAGGACTTCATTCCCCCCTGTGATGTCACTCTGAAGGGTTTGTCATCTTCAGGGGGACGAAAGTCACTGCCTTCCGAAGTCACCAGTTCCTTTTTCAGACAGCTTCCACTTCTGATAAATGCGTTATGTGCTTATGTCAGCAAACATGTCTCTGAGTGAAATCTGAGATGGGTTCTCATTCTGTGCTCTTAACCTATTAGCATAAATTAATCCCTCTTTTCCCTAGACTGTATTTCAAGTATTTGATGACATCTGTTAGTGATCATCACAGATTTATGTCCATTACTCTAAAGAAAAGAAGAAAAAAGAATCCTTGTTTGTTGTTGCTTAAATATACCAGATAAAACCAAATATTTAAACAGCCCCAGAGTAGGGAAATACTTCAACTAAACTAGTTTAACTATATTGATAGAGTCTGTCAACTAGTAGACAAAAGTTAAATTCTAGCCTGGGTCTTAAGGAAGCCGGCTGGAATTCACATTTTTCTATAACCTTCATTGTTTGACAGATATTCATTACATGGCCTTACCACCTGCAGCAGTTCTATGGGAGTTGAGACTAGCTCTGCGGCTATAAGGCAAATATCTGTAAAAGCTACAGCTGTGATTGTGGTCATAATTTAAATAATAGTATAAGTGTCTAATGTGATGTCCCAAATTAACATGGAGAAAACTAAGACATTGTTTTCCTTTTATTAGTGAGATCCCAGATCTCCACCATCACAGTTGCAACCTTCAACACCACATTGGCGTCATTCAACGTAGGCTACGCAGACTTTTTCAATGAGCATATGAGGAAGCTCTGCAACCAGGTGCCTATCCCAGAGATGCCACACGAACCCCTGGCATGTGCGAACCTGCCTCGAAGCCTCACAGACTCCTGCATAAACTACAGCTACTTGGAGGACACAGAACATATTGATGGGACCAATAACTTTGTTCACAAAAATGGCATGCTTGATCTTTCTGTAAGGAGCAAGAATTTTTCTTACTGAAGCTTGAAAGATATTGACTCTTTGGTTCGGTTTTTACTATGTTGTATAAAGTGGGCATATACGGATTCTTAGAAATGTTGGTCCTTAAAATGAAAAAGCCACCCCTATACAAAAATTTCACAAATGTGTTACCCCTCTTAGCTGCACCTTTCCCTTTTTTCAAGAATTACATTAGATTTGACCTGATCTCAGAGTATTTTTAACCCAAAAGCATTAGTGAATCCTGAATACACATATATAAATATGCATACATGTGAGTGTGTTTGCTGAGTCCCTTTTATCAGGAATGAGAGTAAAAAAATTCTCTGTTTATTTTCTTTTGTTATAAAAGCAACATGACTATAAACCTCCTGAGTAGCAGGGGGAAATGAACAGAAGTTCAATAAAAGATTTAAACTTGCATTCTCAAGGATGCCTGTCTCGATTATAGTTATTAGCAGATGAAAGGGTTGTTATATTTTTACAATTTTACTTCACAAAACTGTTTATTTCACATTAGGGAACCTGGCTTAGCAAATAATTTTAAAACATTAAAATAAAAACAGGACATAATTTAAAAATGTAAATATTTTGTATTTAAAATTGAAGTGTCAATAATGATACCATTGTGACTGTGCAAATGTTCCTCTATTAAGTGCACAAGGAAGTGATTTTTCTTTATCATTGGTGGAGAGTGAAAGGCAGAGGAATAGAATACTTTGATTTAAAAAGGAATTGAGCGAGTTTCCATTTTGGCCAATAATTACTCTCACATTAATTCATTATACTTCATTATCCCCATTAGCTGTATATCACAGCAAGCTTGGGGATACTTAAGTGAGATAATACACACACATATGCATTTTTAATCCTTTGGGCATTTTATACTCTATATTAAACACATAAACAAGGTCCCAAAACAACTTAGATAGACATAGCTGAAAATTATCTGAATTATTTATACTCAAGTGCGTATAACATCCTACAGGAAATCAATGAAATGGAATCACTGAATCTGGATAGAAAGAGATAACCCAAGTTATCTAATCCACCCCTGTTTATTTTTGTCTCCCCGCAGGTGGTCCTGAAGGCTGTCTATCTGGTCCTTAACCATGACATCAGCTCCCGCATCTGTGACGTGGCACTCAACATTGTTGAGTGCTTGCTTCAGCTTGGTGTGGTGCCCTGTGTTGAAAAGAACAGAAAGAAGAGCGAAAACAAGGGAAATGAGACTGTGGAGAAAAGACCAAGTGAGGGAACTTTCCAGTTCAAAGGCGTCTCTGGAGGTTCCTGTGGGTTTGGGGGCCCTTCGGTGAGTGGAGCTGGAGATGGTGGAGGAGAAGGAGGCGGTGGAGACGGAGGAGGAGCGGGAGGTGATGGAGGAGGTGGAGGAGGCGGAGGAGGCCCTTACGAGAACGAGAAGAACCAAGGGAAGGTAAGACCGCACAACCTTCTGTGTCCTCGAGAGGGTTTCCCCTAGTGACTTTTCAGTGTGTGTTTCTCAGCACTTCATTGTCTCAGAACAACAACTAGTCACTAGAGCAAGACACTGGTGAGTCTAGAAATCTCTTCCTTAGGTCTTCAGCAGGCATTAGGGGAAAGAGATGAAACTGTATTCTAAATTCAAAGCTCCTGCCATCCAAGCAATGTCAGGCCAAATTCCCTGGTCATGTTATTTCTGCTGGAGAACATCTGAGACACACTACATGGCCATAACTTTCAGTCTGCCACCGAGGATAATCTCTCTCAAGACTTGCAGGGTCTGACCTAACTGATCAGTGTTCTAGTCTTCTCAGGCTGCCATAACAATATCATAGATTGGGTGACTTAAACAACAGACATTTATTTTTCACAATTCTGGGAGCTGAGAAGTCCAAGATCAAGGTATAAGCAAAGTATATTTCATTCTGAGGCCTCTTCTCTTGGTTGGTAGGTAGCTGCCACCTTGCCATGTGTTCACATGTCCTCTTTTTCTGCATGCACAGAAAGAGAGAAAGCTCTAGTTTCTCTTTTTAGGACTCTAATCCCATTGGACCAAGGCCCCACTCTCATGACCTCATCTAACCCTAAATACTGCCCAAAGGCCACATCTCCAAACCCTGTTACATTGAGTGCTAGGGCTTCAAGGTAAGAATTTGGGGGAGACATAAACATTCAGTTCATAACAAACAGTATTTTTCCTCAAGATAAAGTTTTTCTCTTTACCTAATGAACATATTTTGGGGGTACCCAACTTCAAATTAGAGTTAAGGAGAAAGGGGAAACTTTTGCTTGGTTAGTTGGTTGGTTTATTGGTTTTAATTTGGAAGACTAGCCTTGTCCTCTCATGTCTCAATTGTCATATTCTAGTGTCTTTAGTTTTCTTATCATCGATTGTTACTGAATTTAATTCCCTTTGCCTTGAAACACCTGGTTTATGATCTTTGTATTTAATATCAAAAATTAGTTTTCTCCTTTAATTCGGGTTGTAAATAAGAATTACCACATTTTACATTCACATAACTTATTCTGATTTCAATTTGAGTTTTTAGTGGAAAATGCTGTTAAGAAATTGAAATCAACAAGAAATTTGAAGCTCTAACAAGTTACATACCATGTCAAGTGTTTACAAGTATCAGATTACACTGTGCAGATTTCTATCATCTACATATTATCTAATCTATGAATTGTCCATTTTTTTCTTACAGATTATTAGGTTTTCACATCTGAATAGATGTTACAATGCTTCTTTTTTTTCTTTCTTTTTTAAAAATATATCTTTATTGATTTCAGAGAGAGGAAAGGAGAGGAAGAGAGAGAGATAGAAACATCAACGATGAGAGAGTCACTGATAGGCTGTGCCTCCTGCACGCCCCCGACTGGGGATCAAGCCCGCAACCCGGGCATGTGCCCTGACCAGGAATCAAACCCCGATCACCTGGATCCTAGGTCATCGCTCAACCGCTGAGCCATGCCCGGCTGGGCATTCTTCCTTTTTTATAATTTTTTTCCCATCCCATCTCTTTCCAGTCCCACTGGATGCATGTTTAATGTGCATTTATCATCTGTGTTTCTTTATCTCTTTGTTTACTCCTATCTTCCCAATATTCTTGGACAGTGATCCAAATATTCCTGCCTCAATATTGTTGGATTCCTGAACCTTTTCTTCAGGATTTTCTCCTCCTGGTATAATCATATGTATGTTGTTTTCCAATTCTAATACATAGTATCTTCTAGTACTTAAGGCTCTCAACTTCTTAGTTCCTCATACATCACTGATGACAATCCAAGGCTCCTCAGATTTTGCTTTAGGTGAAAATTATCTAAATGATGGTAGAGATCACAAGGGATTTTATCTTGGGCCCTAAAATGTAAGGGATCATTCAGTCAGCAGTTATGTAAGAATTAGCAACCAAATACGATTTCTAAGGACCAAATTTGTAAACACAGCAAACAATGAGATTCTTAGTAGCGTTCCATTTCTTACTAGCAAATAGGCTGACCACAAAAGAGATAATAGATGGTAGACTGTCCATTATAATATTCAAGGGGAAACAATGAAAGAGACTTGAAAATTTTTGATATGCCTTTATCAATAAAACATAGATATTTCAACTAAATTGATGGAGACTTCGCTATATATCCTAAGGATTTCTGGGGTTCATTATTAGTATTATGTTTTTGTTTTTGCTTTTACTTCTGATTTTTACCCAATTAGTATTTTCATCTAATTTCTTATTGAAGACCTGCAAGTCCCTTGCCTATTTAAAATCTAGATATTATACTAGAAACTTGATAATATAACTGTTATTTTGGCCAAAGTTACCACTTTTGATTAGTACAGCAGTTTTTAAATTTAGATTATGCGGTCTCAAAAACAGACACCAAGATACAAGTGTTTTGTAGTTAGCTCTGCAAAATAGTATTTTTCATAGAACAGAGAATTTATAAAATGAAACCTGACTTTAGGTCAAGTGCATTGTGTCTGTGCTTCACACAGGTGTGCTTTTTCCCAAGCCCATCTGTCATTTTCAGTGACATCAGAGGGTTTATCTAATTTTGCATCCTGGTAATTAGCAGAAGCAAGGGAATTGCTTATATTCAAAAAGGAAGATCTCATTTCTATTTCTGTGTTTGCCACTGACTGGTATTGAGAGCTTGAAATGTTATTTAATATCTGTCTTCATCTTTGTCTGTAGCTTGATACATCTTTCTGAATGTCACCTGTGAGAGAAACCTAAATCCCAAGGACATATGAAAGTCTACAAAAATACAAACCTAAATAGATATTTACAAAGAGTGTTTGGAGTTAGGTTTTTATTTTAAAGGAACATATAGTAATTCCAAAATGTATGTTAACCCATCTTCTAAATCACCTTGTTACCCAACGTGACCTATTGCCTCTGGCTGTGCAGTGTGTGTACTACACAAAGGCTTTCGGCTAAGGGGGTCTGTCAGTAAGGACTGAAATCCAGTCCAAGCTTTTCTCACTGAGCTGTTCACCCAAAGGCTGCATCCACTAAGAGGGCTCACCCTTCCCTGATTCATCCACTCAGAGGAGTGTCTTCTCTAATTTGCACAAAGTTACCCCAAAGGATAGCAGTGCCCTGCAGCTAGAAAAAGCAATTAACATTTGTTTTGCTATTATTATGTGCCTTACATGTTTTGATTCATTTAATTCTCACAACTCTGTGAGAAAGGTACTATTATGATTCCCATTTTGTAGGGCACAGAGTGGTTATATAGCTTGCCCAAGGTTATGGAGCTAAGATTTGAATCCAATCTGAAACATTTCTGAATTGTTATATGTAAATATAAGAATGAATGAATAAACAGACAGATAGATGTCTATTGGTAAGTTTGAGTCTTCTATTTGCAACCATCTGAGCTGTAGAGTTCTCAGTAAGCACACTCAGATGTGGAGATATGTGTGTAGGAGTTTCCTGAGGTGTCTTCTCAGGATCAATATCTATGAAGGACCAGAAGGACTGAGGAAGATTGAAGCCTCCGAAAGTAATGGCACTCCCACACTGGGATCTGTGTCATTCCTTAGCAACAGCTCCCTTATGCTTCCTTGGAAATAATTCAAGGAAATTCATTTTTCTGGAAGCTATGTTTTCCATTAAAAGTAAGGATGAAATGGGGCAAAAGAAAGGATGGTAGTTCTCATAATTCATGCAGGAAGGCTTCCTATTTCACCTCAAAGGAAAAATCATGCTGAATGTTTACAAATTTTTTCATACTCTCACTTTTCTTGTGCATAAGTATTACAATGTAGTGAAAGTATAAAATTAGAAAAATCCTTTAATAATGTCAGAAATTGTCATGTGATTTCTACATTCCAGACTCTGATCAGTGCCAGAAATTTAGCAGTAATCCTTGCCTGGTGGTACTGTCAGAAGCCTGCTGATGAGGGTAGCACCTGGGAAAATCTATTTGCCTTCATCACTGATAGTCCCCACTATCTCTCTCTAGCAGCTTTCCTGATAGTCTATCAAGGATACGAAAGCATATCTTTGAACAAAAACGTTTCATTCACATCCTTTAACCTTAGAGGGTATGCAAAATGCACAGATATTTTTCTTTTAAATCAATCATCTTCTAGGTTTTAGAAAAATTAACTTGCTTGTTGAGACCTTGACAATATTTCCCAAATTGCAGGTGCTCACCATAAAACAAATTGGCTTGCTTTGATCATACAATAAAATCTTAGTAGCAGAAGGACCTTAGTGACTGAACAGACTTCTCTTTCTCTCTTGTCCATGGATACTAGGAAGAAATTACACCTGTAAGCAACCATAGGCTTGCCCTAACCATGCTCATCAAAATAGTGAAGTCTTTGGGATGTGCCTATGGTTGTGGAGAAGGACACCGAGGGCTCTCTGGAGATCGCCTGAGACACCAGGTATTCCGAGAGAATGTAAGAGAATTAAAGTAGATTCCATTTCCTCTCCCTCACCCCTTCCTCCAATTTAGGAATGAGTCCTTTGACAATGAGGGTCAGTGTTCCCTGAAAAATCTTGTATTTCATAGGGGTAATTAATGCTGTCTTGGGGTGGGAGGATTCCCACAACGTATCTCAAGACATCTAAAACTCAGGCCCAGGAAAGCTTAATTGGGAAAACACTTCTACCTCCTGCCCAGGGCAGGCCAACTCCCAGTTGGTGAAAGGGTAGATCATTGGAATGCATGAATTATAGTTTGAAAGAACTTGGCAATGATGAATACATTTAGCAAGCTTTCAACCGTCTGTGACGAATGACTTCTTAATCGCTTGCCTGGGAACTAGAGAAGCATATTTTATACAAAAGAAAGGAGTCAAAGTTTAGGACTGAATCCATTATTCTTACACAGATATGGAAAATGGCCCTTATTGGGATAAAACAGGACTGTCAAAGTAGCCAGTCGTGTTCTGGCTGCTTTGCTTGAGAATGAACCTTGACTTCTGTTTGAGATCATATCCCTTTGAACTGTGTGAAACTTGAAACTCTGCACTTGGGCTTGCAAAACATGTTTCTGCAATGGACCATGGTCTCATGCCAGCTCATTTTCATTTGCCTCGGCTGATGGACACTTTTCCCTTCACACTTGAGCGACAACCAATCTCCATAGCTGGGACCGTTGCCTCGTATGTACAGTTGAATTGAAATCTTAAGAAAACATTTGCCTAAAATAAGGGCCTGATGCAAATTTGAGTCCAGGAAACCATTTGGCATATCTTGCAGAGTTTTAGGATCATGTCAAAATCTAATGCCAGCCTGTTTTTCCTTGGTGTTAGGTTTTGTTGTGAAGTGTCCACACAGTTTTAGCATGCTGTGTTTCTTTCTTAATCCATCATCTACCTGTCTATCCATTTATATGTATTATTTCTTTAATATTCTATTATGTTGTATACATTAGTTTATTATATGTATATGCGGGTTATGTTTCACAGTAGTTAACTTCTAAATTACGAAACTTGAAAACTTTGACCAAGATCTAGATTTTTGAGGCCAAAATTAAATCAAAGTAATAAAAAGCTGACATCGCCCCCATCTTTGCACATGCATGTGTGATTTTTAATTCTGTCACAGTATGAATAAATGCCCTCAAGGCTGAACCCACATCACTCATCCTGCAGAAGACCAATCCCATGAGATAAAACACTAAAATGTAACGTGTGATGCTTTAATTGGAGGTATAAACTGGCTCTAGCACCAGAACTTGTCTTTATAGACATGGAGAAAGTAGATCTAGTTGGTCAGAAGCCACTTGACAGGCTATTGTTATTTCTTAGCTCACCGTGCTTCCCTCTCTAAGACTACTGAGTATTTCCTATCAGGATGTCCAGACAGTTTTCTGCCTGCCTTCTCAGCTTTGCTGACTTACATGACAACTCCTCCATGATCTCATAGCCCCATTTAATATTCATTATGGGGATTGTATGTGCTTATCCATGCTCAGTAAACACATAGTTCATTCTTCAAGAGCTCTAAATTTGAGAAATTTTCCCTGGGAATGTCCAATTCAAGAAACTAGGTATTTCCAGATTTCTAATGCATTGAATTTTCAGAGGGTACTTAATTGTTAAAATGTTAAGGATATTTCTCACCTCTACCAGATCAAGTCCTCTACTTTTTAAAAAAGAAACAAAAAAGTATTGTAATGATATTCATCAAAGTGCCTAGCAATTCCAGCATGTGCTTCCTAGATTAATCTATTGTTAGCTGGTAGTCCCAAGTGATTGAAAGGGATTTTGTCTTTAGCAGTTTTATATTTCTTGGGAAAGTTTAGAATATTCATTCAGAATCGAAGTACTAAAGGGTTGATATTCTGATTCTCACTTAAACTTCTCATTGAATTCATTCAGATATTCTAATAACCTCTAAAGAGTAGATCTAAAACTATGCCTTTTTATTTTATAGAGAAGATAATTTTTACTTCAGGGCTTTCCAACTTAGCATTTTAAAGTACTTTGTAGCCCTGGCCAGTGTGGCTCAGTTGATTGAGTGTTGTCTCATGCACTGAAATGTTGCCAGTTTGATTTTCGGTCAGGGCACATGCCCAGGTTGCAGCTCAATCCCCTGCTGGAATGCATGCAGGAGTCAGCCTATCAGTGTTTCTCTCTCTTCCCCTCTCCCTTCCTCTCTCCCTAAAGTCAATTAAAAAAAATTAAAATAAATAAAGTGCATTGTAATTACTGCAGTGAAGATCTTCACAAAGTGTTTGTGGAAAGATAATGAAATACTTCTTTATGCAGAACATATTTTACTGAAGTGCTTTGCAAACTTCATTTTACAGCAAGCAGCATTTATTTTGTAAGAAAGAAAAAAAAAGAGCTTGCTTGAGATCTAGCAACCAGTAACTTCCTTGAAATAAAACCCCTAATTTCCTAAAGTTCTAGAACCCAGTAAAGGAAGAAAAAAAATCTACCCACCTGACTTTGTGATACATGGAGAGATTATTATATAAGGTCATAGCATGAAGCCTATTGCTAATTCATAGTTTCAGCCTTTTAGAATCTTTCATTTTCCTCCTAACATTTTCAAGAATCTTTCTCTGAGCCTTGATTTGTCAAAATGGTGATATAACTGAAATTTTCTCCTGTGATATTTCTCTCAATAGGAGAGGGCAGGAGACCCCCTTATGGTCCCAGGTAGCATCAGTGCATTCTGTCAGTAGCCTTCTGCAGCTGATGACTATGACTTTATTTGTTCTGTTGGTGGGGATTATCTTCATTCCCTTGGCCAGATGGCAAAATTATTTGCTGGATCATAAGAAATATAATTTCGAGTAGCTGGGCCGAGGCAGTGGTCACTTGTTTTTCATATCCATAAGGCCAACTTTTAACACCGAACTTTCACATTCAAAGGCAGACACACAAGTAAACAAACCAGACTTGCCTTTATTTTAAGCCTCTTTCATGTTTCAAGGATCTGTCCCTCCTGGCCAAATAAAAGGGCACTGGATAACCAATTCCTACATTCCTCACACCTCTCTCTGTTAAATCTACTTAAGCTCAGAATAGCTGAGCTTGAGAGTGGCATGCTTCTTACCATTGCACAAAGCCTGTGAATTTTTCTAACCCTAGATTCCCAATCCTGCCACCTACCTAAATTTTACACTCTGGCTTTCTTCATTGAGACCTTAAAATCTCGATCTTGGTGGAAATACTGAACTCCCTCTGGCACCAGCATTAGACCTTAGCTTTGGGTTTTTCCTGGAGCAGCCCACCTCAAAGTAAATGCCCTTGGACTGCTCAGCCTGCCTCTGCCCACTTCTTACTCAGACAAGAGGGGCTGGCAGGGCTGGCCACCACCAGCCAGCAGGGATGGATAGGAGCCTTTGCCTTCTGAAGGCTTCTGTCTCGGGCTAATGGTATCCTTAGCTCAAGCTGGTACCTGTGACTTTTTCACTTTTCTTCCTTCATTGCAGGCCCAGAACTGCCTCACTAAGCTGTACAAGCTAGATAAGATGCAGTTCCGACAAACCATGAGGGACTATGTGAACAAGGACTCCCTCAATAATGTAGTGGACTTCTTGCATGCTTTGCTAGGATTTTGTATGGAGCCAGTCACTGACAGTAAGTAGTGCTGAACCAAGTTCAAGTTCTAGGAGAAGTCACTGTGAGGTGAAGCAGGTGGCATTTCAGAGGCACATGAGATTTGAGGGGATAGAATGTAGACAAAGAGGGGTGTGTGTGTGTGTGTGTGTGTGTGTAATAGTATATACAAGAGAAGCCTGTACATCATCTTTGGTGACACATTTTGGAGCCTTTCTGAGGACAGCTTACCTCAGCAAATGGGAATTTGGTAAAACTGTGGCACCCTCACCATTAGCCCCTCAACCCTTGCACTACCATTCCTCTCTCCCATATGACCTTCTGTTGTGTGACAGCTGAGGCAGAGATCAAGGAACAAGGAAATACATTCACAGATAGTCATGTGAAATGAATCCCTGTTATGTATTAGCCACAGTGCCTGGAGATTTTTTTCACAAAATAAAACAGACAAGAAAAATATATAAATATAGTAGTAACATAATTTTAATACATATATACACATACACATATACTGAGTTCAAAAAACAACAGGCAAAATAGATCTATAGACAAGCCCCCAATATTTTATTTGTATTTTAACTTCGTGGCTTAGGACAACTCCAGTATAGAGGCCTGTGTTGTAGGGGAGACCAGTGAACACCAAGTGCATCCATAATAAACCAAACACCTTTAATACCACCTGAATGCAAATACAGTAATGAAATGAAAGTGATGTGTGAAGCCAGGTTGAGTAAAATATACTTTTAAATTAGAGCCTGGGAGGAAATAACTTCTTAGTACAAGGTTTTATTATTTTATAAGATATTCATATTAGTAGTTGATCAATTTATAATGAAGATAGTTGATGGATTTAGAAGCAGTGTTTGGTTTGTATACCAGGCTATACTATTTGGTTATCACATTAAAAGAAAATATTGTTCCTCTGAAGAACCCTTGGAATAATGTATGTTATCAAAGCTGTTTTAAGCCAAGCACATTACAAACCAAAAGAAAAAAAAGAAATAAGTGAGAATTGTGGTTGAGACTGCAAGAGAAATTTTGATTACAAACTATTTTTTATCTTTCTTATGCTATTGGAGATATAAACTATAAACATAGACTGAATCATTTGATTCTAATGTAAAATCTAGAGGTCATGCCTTGCCAATCGACACAGAAAGTAAGAGGTTGATAATAAATTGTATTACTTCAAGGTGGTGAATTCCTCCTGGGATTCTTGAGAAATGGAAATAGCTCACCGTGAATGAGCCAGTCGGACACACAGGTCTCTATCTGACCAGTCTTGGAGATACACACACCCTGCTCCTACAGCCCACAGTCCGCAGGTGGTTCCCAAGCCAGGAGGAATCTTCAGGCAAACCCTGAAATACCTGATGTATCCCCTACAAAAGTCCATGAATACATGAAAAATTCGCATAAAAGGCCACAGAGGGTGATGGCCTCATTCACTGGCATTTCACATGTAAATGAGTTAGAAAGGGGTACCTGTGAGGGAGGCTGTACATTTTTCTTCTCTGTATGCCCAAAGCATCCCTGGGAACAAGAAGCTGCTGGAATTCCTTTGCAGCTCTTGGCAGGACTCAGTATCCCCTTTGTTTCCAGTGCCTGCATGAATTCCTTCCAGGGCCCTCCTTCCCTCCCCCTGCCCAACTCGCCTGGCTGGCCTCACCTCACTCTACTTCTGACAAACCTAATGATTTCCACTGGGAGTCAGTATTCCTCACCACCAAAAAGACTGAATCTAATAAATTCTTTCTCCAATGAGGGACTCTTTAGTAGATCTCTCTTTTTTTTTTAAGTGATCACTGATTTAAAAACTACTCTAGATCTAAAAGTCTTTCTTAGGGTCAACAGTTGAGTCTCTTTTCCTTGCTAAGATTTATCATTGAAAGCACTCCACAAAATGATGGAGTATGTCATAATAAAGACTCTGAAGGGGACTATGGGTTGTTTATCTCCAAGTTCATGGAAAGGTTACTAAACCAGGGGCATCTTTAACCCTCTGTCTGGATAGTCTGTGTAGCCCTTCATTAATTCCTAGGGGCCAAGTACTTCTTTACTTTTTTAAACTGTGTGGCTTGATGGAAACTGCCTTTAATTGGTGCCTTTGCATTCCAGACAAGGCTGGTTTTGGAAATAACTTCACCACGGTGGACAACAAATCCACAGCCCAAAATGTGGAAGGCATTATCGTCAGTGCCATGTTTAAATCCCTCATCACACGCTGCGCTTCAACCACCCATGAACTGCACAGCCCTGAGAATCTGGTGAGAAGCTCACCTTTTCTCCCCACAGGAGTTCTCCATCTCTCCTTGGGGGAAAGTTCTCCCATCATGACCATGAGAAAGAGCGGTTGAAGGCTAAAATATCTATTTTTCCAATGTTACCGGTAACTCACGGTGGAACCTCAGCAACACGTTTCTCCTCCTTATTGCTCCTGTAAATGGACTTCTCTTCCTCTTTGGTCTCAGAGGTCAGGTTCTGTGGTGGTTGGTTTAATAGTTGCAAAGTACTTTGAGCCCCTCAGAAAGAAGTGCTGGAGCATAGCATGTTAGCTCATGAAATAGTAAAGAGTGTTATACCAAGCATCTTTCAAAACCATACTTACTTTAAAAATTAATGCAGATATGCTGTGGGAATTGTTGTGGGTTTTTTTTTTGTTGTGTTTTTTTTTTTTTTTATGGAAGGCTGTAATATTTTAGCTACTCTGCATAAATGACTGTGTTAATTAAACCACCGAAGCCACAAGTAGAGTAAGCCAGGCTATTAAAGGTTAATGCTCAATTGCTACCAAGGAGATTGTGGCTTGGGATACTGAAATGTACGTTCAGGCTGACAAGTGTGATGGGAAGAGAAGAATTCAGGTCCTTCTAGGGAGTAAAGGATGTTTCTCTATCTTACCAATCTGTGAGATATTATGACTCCTACGTAGAAAGCAGCCCATTTACACATACGGATACTATCTGAGAAATCGAGGAAATTATTTTAAGCTATTCTAAGTAATTGAAACTATTCACTTATCTTGAGATAAACAGAATAAAGCCCCAAACCAAAGGGAGTTTAATTTTGCTGGTTGTTGGAGCCACGCCAGCAAGGTCCTTGAAGCTTGAGAATAACGTGGACACCACCCACGTATTCAATCTGATCAAAGGAAGAAGAAATCGACAAGTTGATTACAATACATGAGAGCTCTTATACATCATAGCACACAAAATTCACATACAGAAATGCAGAAATACTGCATTTCTTCATTTTCTTTAAATCATCTTCAGTTTGACTTTGAACCACTCTTCCACCAGAATGGGGGGAAGTTGAATCTGTCATCCTTGGGTTTCCCCATCTTATATGGTGGTGCAAGTTGTAGGTAGGACCTAGTGCCTAGGAAGCTTCATGGGTTTCAATCATCAGTTCACACCGACTGTTTCACATAGAACTTTCTCTGCATGTTCAGGTCTGGGCACTCTGGAGAGTTTGGAACCCTTGCTCTTTGGGGCCTTACCCCTTCTTGGAGCGGTTACCAAAGAGCAGAGTGAAGGCACAGGGCTTTGCTGCCCACAGGATTAAAAGGACACTCCATGTTTTTACTTAGTGGCTCTTCCTTCAGCTTTTCTAAAGATCATGAGCGTAACTGTCCCATTGATCTTAGGTTTTGAAACCCAAAGCTATCAAGGTAAGTGGTTTTTAGGCTTCTGTGTTCTGCTTTGCCATGAACTTCTCCTAAGACAAAAAATACAGTAACTGCCTTCTTAAAGAAGGAAGGAGAGGGGGAATGCTGAGTGCAAAGCTTCATCTCCCCTCCCCAAAAGGCCTGCATATCTTTTTAAATATTGAATCACCAATATATTGGTTTTAATAACCCTGCGTCATCTTAAGTTCATAGTCAAGTTCATGTTCAAATGGGCTACAAATACATGGTATTTGTTGAATCTGTTCAGCAAAGTGCATCATCCTTGAATGTGAGATTCCATCAGAAAGTACACAGGATTCAGCAATTTTATCACAATGATGGAGAAAATTTGGAGAAGCTGACCAGGGACTGAAATCTCTGCTATAAACAAAATTCTGATTGCATTTCTTGGCAAGCATCTCTTCAGAAGTCACAATTAAGAGCAAAATTAAAGCTTGGGAATCCAGTGGTTAAAAGTGTAAATTAATGTTTTTCTAATGATACAGCCAACTTTCTGAACATGAGCTAGAATGACAGACAAGGTTCTTGGTAATGTAGCCACAGGAACAAAGGAGAGGCATTATACTATTGATTTCATCATAGGAGATTGTCTTCCCTTTATTATTCCAGTGCTCATCTAAACTCAAAGAATTACCTTCGTCCCCTTTTGCTATGAAAACTATACAATCACACAACTATCTTTCTTTCCCCACACTTCCCTTCTTGCTTCCAAATAGGGGCTGTATTGTGACATCCGTCAGCTGGTCCAGTTTATCAAAGAGGCTCATGGGAATGTCTTCAGGAGAGTGGCCCTCAGCGCTTTACTTGACAGTGCAGAGAAGCTGGCACCAGGGAAAAAGGTGGAGGAGAATGAACCAGAATCTAAGCCTGTGGGCAGTAAAAGGTTGGAAGCTTGAGCTCTCTGAATACTAGTGCCCGCCTGTGTCTGTAGAATACAATCTTCTGTTGCCCTGTCCATGTGGTTCCTGACAGCGTGAAGCTCCAATGCAGGGATCGTAGAACTATCTTGCACAAGTGGTATGGCTGCTGGTGGTCCAGCTGCAGCTTAGAAAAGGAATGAGTTTACCACCAAACAAGTCCTGTCTCTGTGTGAACCAGAGCTCAGTTGATCCCAAGCATTAATACACTTGAACTGCACTTCATAGCTCTTAGCTATATGGTAAAATTTAATCTGTGTTTTCGTTTCTTCTATAGATAGTATAGATTTTTGTTCAGAAAGGAAAAGCAATTACTGCTACCCTATCATCCTGTGCAGTTAAGTAATATTTTTTAACATGACAAAAGACAAATGGCTGAGCAGTGGCCTGTTGTTTTTATTTCTAGTAAACATAATTTTTTGTGTGCCTATTTTATAAGGAATGCCACTTACGAAGATTAAAGGAAAGTACTAAACTTAAAATCCTGCTTGCAGTTAGTGACTCTGTTAGCAATAGTGGTGGTTTTCTTAGGCTATAAGGTAACTAGGTCATGCGCCAATGAGAGGATGTCTGTTCCACCCCAGCACAGACTGTTGGCATGGGGTTTGCAAGCCATATAGCTGGTCCAGGGCAGAGTGCTATGAAGTGTGTGAAATATCGAGAAGCGGTGTCCTGCTCTGTTGTGATTGCTGGAATGACCATTTGCATAGGTCAGAGGCAGGAAGCGTTGTGGATAAAGGCCAAGTGTCCTCTGCACCTGAGGAATGTCGCAGCTTCATATCTGGTCGACCCTCGCAGACTCCGGAGCAGTAAGTAGCATTGGTTTTGTGTCCAATGTAGTGTGGGCTGAGCACTTCCCATGGGAAGAAATTCTGTTTTCCAAACTGCTGCCATTTGTTTTTTGTTGTTTTGAACTTTGCCTTGCTTCCACCCTTTACTTTTCATTCCCAAAGCCACAAATCTCCACAAGTTCAAATCACAAATAACCCACCCCGTGCCTACAGGAAGCTTCTGATAGCAGCTTATCTCTACTTTTCATAATGGCAAAATCAAAAAAGCATCTTGAAATTAGTGTCCCCAAAAAATGTGAGAATTACTGTAGACACCAAGTAAACAGCCTAGGCGCATTTGCATTAATTCTTTTTTTGGTTTTAATCTCCACCTGAGGACATTTTCATTGATTTTTAGAGAGAGGGGATGTGAGAGAGAGAGATTGGCTGCCTCCCACAGCTGGGACTGGGAACAAACCTGCAAGTCAGGCATGTGCCCTGACCAGGAATCCAACCCTCTACCTTTCTGTGTACAGGATGACACCCCCACCAGCTGAGCCACACTGGCCAGGGCACATTAATTCTTCTTTCGAGGACTACTTACACAAGTGGCAGGATCAATATTTAAAATATGTAGGTCATTTTAGGGACATCATTTTACTTCCCAGAACGCTGATTTAGTATTAAATGATGATCCTTTCAGAAATTCTGCAAGTATTGCCTGTAGCTTTTATGGTATCCTCTCTCCATAGTCAAAGGTATTAGTCATCAAATCGGGCCTTGGTAATATTCCACAGCAAGCAAGCAAAACCTTCAAGGAACAAAAACCCCTCACAGTTCTTATAGCCCTTGAAAAATCTTAGAGATTGTCTCTAAGTGAGTAGAGAAATGTAAGAAGGTAAATCAACTCTATAGGTCTAGGGACCATGTGAGTTTTTGCGTATCATTATAGCCCCAATGCCTCGATGGGGTTTGGCCCAGGGTAAGCACTTCATATATATTTGAATGAATGAATAAATGATTGAATGACAATCAGCCAATGAAAAGATGGAACTGACAAATTACCATTAAACCTTTGTTTTCAATAACTTTCTCAAAATTGAGTTTTAGGTTTTCCTTTAAGGAATTCTTCAAGGACATGGTAAAAACCCAAACATAAGCTTTAAAAGAAAAATAAAATTAACATGAATGGCAAAGTTTTATAGCTGAATAACCACAAGACTAGTTAAAAGTCCTTACCCACAGAATCTGTCCTAAAAAGCAGGACTTTCCCCCCAAATAACACTAAGCAACTATTGACCTAATCTGGTAAGAATGACCTAATAGCAGATTGGATTTAAAAAATAAAATCATTTATCTTCATAGGTAATTTAGTTTTTAGGTTGCAAAATATTACCCTTCAGTATTCTGTAAACCCCACCTGATTTCTCAGCATTTAGCACCTGTCTGTCCTTTCCTCTAAATAAAGATACATGTCTTAATAGACTCTACATAAAAATTTCCACTGGAAGGGACATCATAGAATGTCAAATGTGGAACTTTTCCCTGACCTGAGTGGGCCCAGGGGATGGGCATGCCTAATGCTTCTGTTTAGCATTGGAGAAAGGTGGGCACCTTTATCTTCTCTTTTTCTCTCTTCCCCTTCCCTCCCCTTCTTACCTTTCTCTTCTCCTCTCCCTCTTTAAATAAAAGTCACATTAACTGAGTAATATTAAAAACAGTTTCATATGCTCCTTTCTCTGAAACTCATTATTGATACCCACTCATTGGACAAAGCTGGTGTAGCATTTTATTGAGAAAGCTGATAAACGATAGCCTCCTTGAATGTTTTCCCACTCAGGCCATGTAGGCTCATACTCTTCCCCAAAGAAAGAGTACATTCCCCAAAGGTGAGAAATGCTTCATGCGCTGTGATCATTTTATAAAAAAAACAACTGAGGAGTCAAAAATCTCTTTGTAGATGTTCCCATTTGTTTTCTAAGTTGGACTAATATTTTTACTTTTAAACCTTACTTAAGTTTCTTTGACTTGAGAAAGCTAAGTAATTAGGCACTGGGAAAATAATTTAGTGAACAATTGTGGGATGGTGTGTTCCCTGGGTGTGGTGATTACATTTCATTTATTCATTTATTCAAGTATTTTTTGTGAGTTTTTACTGTCAAGAATCATACTATAGTGAAGCGGGGGTGGAGAGTAAGACACAGTACTGCACATGCCTCAGGAAACTTCCAAAAGCAGTTAAATATTTACTGACACTGTAAGTGCTTCTGCTATTATGACTCACACCTGCAGACTAATACCTGCAATAATATTTAGTCTTTTTATTAAGGTTGAAAAAAATTACTTCAAGTTGACAGCTGAGACATGACTGTTTTCAAGAAGAGCCCAGATAGTCAACCTTGGTCTTTCTCCTTCCACTCCCACTCTTTCCAAATCCCAGCCCTTCAAAGATAAATTCTGTATGAGTTGCCTACGTGCCATTGGCAGGGGGTTGAAAGAAATTTAAGAGAATTTCACAAAGTGTATCAGATGTTTCATTCTCACCTCTGCTTGCTTTCAGCGATGAACAAATGCAAGGGGGCAACCTGGGGCGGAAAGATTTCTGGCGCAAGATGTTCAAATCCCAGAGTGCAGCAAGTGACACCAGCAGCCAGTCTGAGCAGGACACCTCAGAATGCACCACTGCCCATTCAGGGAACACCTCTGACCGGCGCGCCCGCTCGCGATCCCGTAGAATTTCCCTGCGGAAGAAGCTTAAGCTCCCCATAGGTAAAAGTATGTCTGTATTTATTTATGGATTCTCTTATTCCCTTCCATGCCCTCAAATAAACTCATAATCAAAACAGCAATGCATGGTAGGATGGAGAAAGGGAAAGCCTTCAAGTCAAAGGCCGAGGCTGCCACATTCTTTCATTCTTTATTCATTCTTTTTTTAAACAGATATTTCTCAGACTCCTACTATGTGCTTCTACAGCATGCAAATATTATGTTAGGTATCAGGGATTAAATGGTGAGCAAAATTACGCAATGCCCAATTTTGCAGAACTTGCAATCTAGTAGGGATGACAGTCACTAAAGCAGATAATCATACAACTAAGTGTAGTTGCAAACTATGGATTTTATAAAGGAGGTATACACCGTGCATAAACGCATGCTACAAGACCTGACCTAAGTGAGGGGGGCTGGGGCTGGCAGGAATCAGAGAAGGTTTCTTGAAGGAGGTTACGTTAAGATCTGCAGGATATTTAAGGGAAGGAGGAAGGCGAGCACTCTAGGTGGTAGCAGTAAAGTGGGCAAAAATATTAGGAGGAAGGGAAATGGAAGAGCTGAGACAAAGAGGAGAGGGGCTGTATGACTCTGGTAGAGTGTCAGGGGCCAGAGCATGCAGGTCAGTTGGACTATATATCCTACAACTCTACATAGCCTGGGTGGGATGTTGAAGAGGAGTAACATGAGCAGGTAGGCTTTTTCTAAACGATCACAGCGTGGAAAACAGATTGGAGGGAGCCTGAGTGGATAAAAGAGATCATGTTCCAGGTATAAGGAATGGTAGCTTGGACTGGGTGGTGACCAGGTAGACAGAAAGACGTGGTCAGATTTGAGAGGTACTTGGATGGAAAATCAACAGGACTTACTGGAAGATATGAAAGTTGTCAAGGAGAATGGGATATATTGTGGTTTTTATTTATCTAAGAGGTTTAGGTTCTTTTTGTCCTGGTCTTACTTGGTCATGTAAGTTCATAGTCCAACACTGAACATTTAAAGCATGTGCATTGGAAACAATTTCTTTTCGCTTCTGTTTACATCAAGCCATGTAACTTTCATTGCTTGTTGGGTACATGCTGGCATTTCTGTTTAACCCATTGGTGAGAAAATGCTATAATGGTCAGATTTTTTTTTTTTTAATTATTAATAGGAAACTGGTTGAAGCGATCCTCCCTCTCGGGCCTGGCAGATGGCGTGGAAGACCTCCTGGACATCAGTTCTGTGGACCGCCTGTCTTTCATCAGGCAAAGTTCCAAGGTACATAGAGCATGACTTCTGTGAGAGGATGTTGGAGTCACTGATTTAAAATTGTCAGGGCTGAGAAATGCTGAACGCCTGGAGGGGCCAAAGAGAGTTGAAGAAACTCTCTTCAAGTTGAACAAATTTAGGAAACTGAGTTAGATGAGCAATGAAAGCTAAGATGTCTTACTAGTAGACTATCATAAAGGAAAAATGGAAAAGTGTGACAAAAAATTTTAGATAAAATTATAATGCAGATATAGGTGTATATGTGTGTGCTACTTCTTAGCTATTTTTAACTTTTAACACACATGTAAAATTCCTGACATCTCAAGCTCCTTTACAAGAATTTACACACACACACACACACACACACACACACACCCACTCATCCTCCTGCCACTATTTGCACCAGCTGAACCATTCTCTTTATTGAAAAAGATAAAGAAACTTAGGATGACTTTTCCCATTAAGTGCTTCTTTGTAATACTCTTGAGCGATGTAGTAGTGCACAATTTCGAGAAGGTAATGATTCTCAGTGAAATCTATTTCCTCTAAGAGTTTTTCCTATGAATTATTCATGGCCTGGCTACTGTAATTTTCAGTATATGATCATTTATATTTCTTTAAATACAAATTATTTGCTTACATTTGTTCTTCTTTGGATCTTACTAAAACCAGTTTTCTTCTATCTTTTTTAAAAGTAATATTTTGAAATTATATAAAGAATATAGCAACATTCTAAGACATTTAGAAGATATATTTATAATTCACTTTTCACATTCTTTATGCTAAAAAATTGGTCAAGTATTTGAGAATCTGTGAGGCCTATAGCCTCCTTGTTTTGCTGAAAAGTTTGATTAACTGTTGGCTTAAGGGCAAGATTGAGAACACATTTTAATTCTTAGAAGAACCCATGTTATTGCACTCTAATTACAGTGCACTTTATGAAGAAATTTATACTGACAGAGATTTGAAATCTCTATTCTGCTTTCTCTTTGGTCTGAATCTCAGTTGAGGTATTGTTTGTAAAAGATAAAGATGACTTTCTGTTCCTGGTTTTGAGTTTGGACTTAATTAAAATTAAACTCTAGAAATACTTCAATTTTTTTTTTACTAAGTTATTTTGATAGCGTCTGATTATTTCATTTTCAATCTATGACCAGGATCTTCTTTCAAATTATAGTTATAAGTGGTGTCTTTTCTGGCACATGGGAATAAACTATGACTAACCAGATGTGGAAGTCAGAAGAACTGAAGCAACCTTCATATTCTCAGCATCTTATTTTTCAAGGCAAGAGTTAGTATAAACACAAAGAATTGAACTTAGTTATCTGACTACTTTCCTTTTTTCTCAGGTCAAATTTACCAGTGCTGTGAAGCTCTCCGAAGGTGGCCCTGGGAGTGGAATGGAAAATGGAAGAGATGAAGAGGAGAATTTCTTCAAGCGTCTTGGTAAGTGCTATGTAGCCTAAGAATTACATTCAACTTTCATCACACAGAACAAAAATTTGATTAGATAAAATGGTCCATTTTCTATTTCCATTGATTTATTTTTTATTAAATTTATTGAGGTGACATTGGTTAACAAGATCATGTACATTTCAAATGTACATTTCTATGATATATGATCTGTGTATTGCATTGTGTGCCTACCACCCTAAGTCAAGTATTCTTCCATCGCCCTATATTTGGCCCCCTTTACCCTCTATTACCAACCCCCTTCCCTCTTCTTTGTGCCATTTGAGATTCTGTCTTTTGAATTTCTCCTACTATCAGATTTTTCTTGTGCTACTTCCTTTTGCAATTGATACAAAATATGCTGCACTAACCAAAAACAACAACAACAACACTGAAGGTGTCCAATATGGAATTTTGAATATGGAGAATTCGCATCTGAAAAGGGGACCTACTCATTAGGATTGAAATATGGGAAATTTTTATAATTATATTTTAATTTTTTTTTGAGTCATTTTTTTGTACTTATGAAAATTTTCAAACATAGACCAAACTTAAGAGAATGGTCCAACAGATCCTCAATATCCATCACCCACTTGCAATAATAATTAAAAATTTGCCATATTTGCTTCATCTATCTTTTATGTTTTTTAATGTGTTTTAAAAACCGAACAGGGGACATCTGTAATGCTTTCAACAGTAAAAATAAATTTAAAAAGAAAAAAGAAAAAAATCCCAGGTACCGTACATACATCTGCCTTTGTGTTGCGTAGGTGGGATGGGGGCCATAGGTGGGAGGAATCAGGCTATTCTTGACGGAAGGGGTGAGAAGCCCATTTCTGGAAATCAGATCTGTGACTTCTCAGTGAGGACCAGGAGTTGGTAACATTATAAATGAATGGCATGAATACTAATTAAATCAAGCTCTAAATCAGTGGGAGTGTATTTTTAGGTGTCAGAAATACATTTCAGAATCATGAGAAGGAGCTTGGGCCTGGTTTTAAAAATGATATTCAACATAATAATCTTATATAAGAAAAATTAAAAATATATATACTAGAAGCTGCAGAAAAGTCATGAGATATTTAGGTTTTCCAAAAAGAACTTGGGATAAAAATGACAAAAAACAATACCTTGTACCATTTTTTTCTTAATGTGTAATCCTCAGACTTTCTACATCAAAATCAGTGATTTATTAAAAATATACATTTCCCCCCGACCTATGGAATCAAAATCTCTAGCGATGGGGCATGATATTTTAAATTGTAATGAGCTCCAGACTGATGCTTATTTGTAGGCAACTTAACTATGGAAAAATAAGAGAGGAAGGATCAGTGGTTCCCACACCTCTTGTCACAGTGTGGGATCAGGCTGGCCATGTCATCTGGGAGCTTTACAGAGCACACATTCTTACCCTCTGCTTCCAGAGATTCAGAAGGTCTAGATGAAATTCAGGAACATTCTAGATAATTCTGATGCACAGACTGGTATGGAAATCCTGAAATTAAATGACTAACCTCTAACATCCTTTATGGCTGTAATAGTCAGCGATTCTTTGCATTTTAACTGACATATCAAAACATTGTCCTTGATATCAGTTTATGTAACAGGTCTGAAATTGCACAGTGATTGTATCTTCCATAAAAAATAGAAGTTAGTTGTTGATTACAGGAAGAATTATTTTAAATATGCCAAGAGTTCTCACAAGTAATAAAGGGGAGACCTGGTAGCAAAATGATCAGGCCCTATATTTGAATACTTATGTAAAACCCCTCATTTACATATGCCATGTGTCACCAAACTCCCAAAAGTCCGGGTATGTCCAAATCAGCATTATAATAAAGAGGAGGGAGGCGGAGTTAGGGAGAATGTTTTCAGGCCAACACTACAGAAAACACATTGTTACCATTTTTAAGCTCCTTTTAAATCTGTGATTCTTTACACTCTCACTCCTCCACCACAGGTTGCCACAGTTTTGACGACCACATGTCTTCCAACCAAGATGGTGGAAAAAGCAAAAACGTGGTGAATCTTGGAGCCATCCGACAAGGCATGAAGCGCTTTCAATTTCTGTTGAACTGCTGTGAGCCGGGGACCATTCCTGATGCATCCATCCTGGCGGCTGCCCTAGATCTTGTAAGTTGTTGGAAAGATTTGGTCACATTCCAATGAGTTCTGCTAACGGAGGAAAGCGTGAACCCCTGCTCCTGACCCCAACTGTGGGGTTTGGTTTTGTTTTCTCAGCATTAGTAGCAAAAGCAGGGAGAAAGGTGGTGAGGTGAAAGAAGAAAGAAAGGGGAGAAATCTTAATATGTTTGGGGAAGTAGAATGTATAACATCATGATTAAAAGTGTGTGAGGGCTTTGGAATCAGACTGCCTGGGTTAAAACTTTGCTTCACCTGTTTTGTGTCTTTTCTTATGAAGATTGTATTTGTTTAGTGATCTGTTTCCCAGATGTCCTAATGGACAGTGTTCGAAGATGGTTAAACTAATGATTAACATTTATTGTGTATCTACTCTCTTTCCAAAGGAAAAAAACCAAAGCTCAGAAAGACCAACTAACAGGCCAGGGAAACAAAACCAGCAAATAATAGAGGCAGATTTGGAACCTAGGTCTGTCTGTCTTCACAGACCCCATAGTTCCTACTCCAACATGTTGACTCTCTCATTTAAAAATTATGTGAGATCACTATAGGAACTTACTTTTAAACATGCAAAAATAATAAAATCTTTTTGCCTGATAGTTTAAATGTGATTGAGAAAGGAAAGATGACGAGAGCTAGTCAAACAGTTGTTAAATACACAATAGCAATTGTGCATTGACCCTTTACAGGTGCTTTAAGCTTGTGTTTGTTCCAAAGGTACTGGCTGTCTATGTTTGTCTCAATCCTAAAGTCACAGCTACTTTGGAGTACAGCATCAAATTTCTTAAGCAATTACCTGTTAAGATTAAGGAAAATAATAACTAATCATATCATTTTAACATACTGTTGAAAAATTGAGGGAAAGATATAGGAACGGCTGGCCATACAAATTGGAAAATAATGGGGTAATAAATAGCATTTGGACAACTACCAGTGAAATAAGTATCTGATGACAGAGAGAACAGATTGTCCTTCACTCACTGGAAAGATCTAAGCCCCCATACTTTCAGGGGTCCTGAGCTGAAATCTTCACATCAGTATGTATGATTCAATGGATTTTATCAAGCAGATATTTTCATTCACATGAGAGAACAAAAACATGAAGAGCTGAGATGACTTTGCTCAAGGTCACATAAACCAGTCAGTTCTAAAAACTATTAGCCAGTTTTCTGATTCCATTCAGGACTCTAGCAATAGCATATGTTTTCTCTATAAAAAAATTATTTAAATAAGTCAGAATGAGTCTCTCATAATACATTAAAAATATACTTAAATGAATACAGTTTCCATAATTAAAAAAAAAGGTTGTGAATGGTCCTTAATGGTCCAAAAACATATGAATCTTCAAAAGAGTTTTCTTATTATGTGGCTACAAATGAAGAATTTATGATAAGAAAATATAGATTTTCAACTTTAAAAATTCACACCACATATTCACCCTCTAAAGTAGTAATTTTAAACATTTGGGGACATAGATTTTTTTAGAATTGGATGAAAGCTATGGAAAGTCTCCCAAAAGAAGTTCAGTTATAGACAAAATTTAGCATATAATATTAGAAGGTTCCTGGATTCCCCCCGCAAACCATCCATGAAACCAAAAATGTTAAGAACTCAATATTGATTAATGCATAATCACTGGCAAAATGAGACTCTTCAGTTAAATAATTGGAATGATTTTTATTAACATTTATTGATGATACAGAAACCAAAGAAATAATTGCTTCCCACGTGGAAAGCTTTTAGGATTTGTATATACTATGTAGGCATAGGAGAAATGTGAGGCTTGTCACAAAGAGCGCAACACACTTGAGGATTTGGGAACAAAACCCAAGAGAACCAACTGATACTTGGTTTCTGAATGGAGATTATTTTAAGAAGAATGTTGATGGGTACTTTGATAATCAAGTCTCTTGGATGCTGAGATTTCATTCCCTCTCATCAAATGGTCTTATATCTGTCTGATTTCCAATTGCTATAATGCTTAGAGTTTCCAAGGAGATGCGAGACAGGAGTTTCCAGGTGCAGGTACACTCTGTTCCTGGCTGTAGCTTGACTCTTACTGTTGTCTGTCTGAATCCCATAGAAAACTTAAAATTTATTTTATTTCCCCCAAATAAAACAAGACCACTAGACTCTCCTTTTTTACTTTCCTGTGAACCCACTTTCGCCCTGATTGACCTCAGTATTATAAATCTCAAGGTAAGAAATAAAATAAGGGGAGCTTGATGCTAATAAGCAATGTCTTTTAAGCCTCAAAGTAAAGAAGCATTTTCTGATCATTGTAGATGGCAAATGATGAAGTAACTGCGTTGGAAAGTAATGAGCTCTTTGTTACCAGACTGGACTCAGTGGGGGGGCCAATGTATAAGGGGCTCAAGAAGTGAGTTTATTAGTATAAGTTCCTTGCATACCTGAGTCTTTGATTCCAGGTCAAGCCCAGGGAGTATGCAGAGGTCAAAAGTCAGAGTTCCAGGGGTCAGAATCAGTCAAAGTTTAAAGGAGTACAGTGGTTTCCATTATCTAACACAGAGAGAAGCCAGGTAGACCTTGTTGGTTGAATAAATGGGATAGGTGATGATGGTGGTGATGGTAGCTGTGGTGGTGGTGCTCTTGATGATGGTGATGGTGGCAGATGATGGTGCTGGTGGCAGGTGCTGGTGGTAGTAAAAGATGAAAATAGTAACATTTTCATTACACTTGATAGTTTATAGAGCACTTTCACATTAATTATCTTATTTCTTTATGTAAAAGGAAAGAATCAAGCCAGAAAACGGTCCCCAAACAAAGATACACATAAATTTCTTTTCTTGAGTATAAAAAAGTGAAAGAATTGAAGTCACTTGTGAATTCTGACAAGTGGACTAAGAGGAAGGGAAATATAACTGCATGTGCGATGTGCTCAATTAAAGTCGTATTCTGTGTTTACTGTCATTGGTACAGTTGTTCATACCTATTGGTCTGGGTTAGAAGTTCCTCAGGATTACTCTTTCACAAATGTCTCTGCTAAATGTATTTTTAACTATTGTTTCCTCCTTATTTGGCTTCACTTAACATCTGATCTCATCGACTTCCTGTCTTTCAGAAATGCTTCACTTTTAAAATATGATTTTCAATGCATTCATGGTTTTAGTCATATACATATATATGTATAAATTAGAAATATCTATAATGCTACCTACTAGATCAAAATGTGAATATAGAAATATATAGGATAGATATAGATCTAAATGACATAGATGGATACACTGACAAGAGAGAGATGACAGGCAGGCACAATGCAGATGTAGATACAGATGCAGATATAGATACAGATGTAGATATAGATACAGAGATAAACATAGTTATAGATTCTGCCATTTCATGGGATAGGATTTGGGAGAGGGTGGAAAAAGATGAATGTGTTCAGTTCATTATCATGTTTTAGTTCAACACTTTTCGCCATTTCTTTTGTTGTTTGCTTTTGTTGGATGTAGCATTTATTTTTTAAGTGTAGCTTAAATATAGTTTTTGCATTATGACATAGTATTTATTTCAGAAGTTTTCATTGTTTAGTTGCCTTAATCATAGAATTTAACTGTTATTTTTCAAGTTTGCAATTCTCTTCAGAATCAAAAGTATTATTAAATGAAAAAAACGACTAGAAATGTCAATCTTTGACTTCTTGCCAATCTGAAGGTTTTTTCTTTAAATGATCCTCTTGTCATTATTGCTGTGACTATTAAACTTTGGGGTAATTGGTTTAATTTTAAATTCAGCGCAGCTCTGCCTCATACTGTTTAGTATAAATTTAATAGATGCAGTATGAAGCATTTTTAAAAAGATGTGTTTTAGAAAGAACTTGTTATCTCTAGGTTTATATAATCTACAAACACAAAAAAGAAAAATTAAACAGTTCAAACAAAAGGTACTTCTGTCTGTTTTCTGTCTATTTTAGGTGAATGTTCTACCCTTTTTTTATCCAGTTGAATATATAAAATGTACAGGCATAGTAATTTCTAATTCATTAGTAACTTACTAGCATAAATAATACTAATAATGTAGTTTGCTTTAGGAACAATTTAATGAATATAAGAAAGTCAATGGGAAAAAAAGTCAGTAAGATCACAGAATCCTTCCTGGTCTGTGGGATGGAGAAAACCTAATCCATGTTAAATTTTATAACTTCCTAAGTAGACGGCTTTAAGAGGAATGATTATATAATTTTTATCCAAACTGGGACACTTTTGAGAGAGAAAGGGAGCGCTATCAGTAACTGTACCAGTTAAACAGACATAAACTGGAGCTCTCCGGAGACAATGAGACCTTTGTTACCATAGGTATGGCCACACTATCAGTTTCACTGCATCACAGGACTAACTGTTGATAATGCAGATGAGCTCCTTTCAAGGACATAGGAAGATACTCATAAGAGGAACTATCAAAGCCAAATAATATTGTGTTCTTTTTGGAATCATAAGCAAAGTTGGAATAATTCAGTAATAACCAAATCTGAAACATTCAATTATTCAAGTAACTAATGGTACTCCTATACTATCGAATATTTAAAAATATTCTAACAATGTAGCATGAAAAGGAATATATCATAAATATGTAGAGTTTAAAGAAAAAATTTAAATGTCACATATATACCACATACCTTAAAGAATAGGACATTTCCAGTTTCTTTAAAGTTCCTGTAGTCTCTTCCCTCATCACATACCCCTACCTCCCAGGGGATACTGCTCTTGTAAACTTTGTTATAATCATTCCTGTGCTTTCTTTATTTTACCACATGAATCTTTCCCTAGAGAATATATTGTTTTGTTTTGCTCTGTTTTGAAGTTCATTTAAAGCATGCTGTCCTCTTTTTGTTCAGCATTGAGTTGGGGTTCTTCCTGGAGGCATTTAGCATTAATATATTAATTTTCACTCATGAATGGTATTTGTTTGTTTGAATATACCACAGTGTATATACCCATTTATGTTAGATGTACATTTTTTATGTTTTCAGA